ATTTCACTGTTTGCTTACCTTTTCTCCAAAAGCAAACTTTAAATGCTTTCCTTTCCCCGAAGAATGAAACAAAGGCAGTGGCTTGACCTGACAGTATTCTCACATGTGTAAAAACTATATAAACTAAATTCTCATTAGAGTAATTGAGGATGATAGATTTAAGAAATATTGTGACAGTGTCCCCCATTCCTTTTTTTTATAAAGTTTTTTAAAAATCCAAATAATAAAATAAATGTCTTTGTCAATATTTTATGAATAGGAAAAAAAGTTTTGCTAATTAGAGGGGGTAAATGACACATCTATAACTATATAGTTTTAAATAGGTGCATCATGAAAAGAGAAAAATTAGTGGTGCTGTCTCTGCTGACCTGTTTCATATGATTTTTTAAAAATCTATTTCAGCACCTCTGGAAATTGTTTTAATATTTCAGACTAGTTTTTTTGAGCAATAAGAGTATATACCATTGTGTGCATTTTTAAAGCACTGCTATGGAAAGGCACTTTTTTGTATCTTTCAAATTGTTCACCAAGTTTTGTTTCTACTATTTTTGTGCTTACAAAGTGTCCTTAAAAGCATTTGCATTGTTGATTTTAAGCATGCTCAGTGTAGCTGGTGAGTAACTTCACAGGAAGGTTGTTAAGCTATACTGCAATTCATGGGTGCTGTAATTTTCAACGTTGTCCTCTTGCTGCTCTGTACTGGGTGCAGCTCCTGGGGCTCAGACACACCAGTGGAGCAAAAGGCACAGGCACAGTCACAACTCCTCAGCTGTTCCCGTGACGGGTAAGTGGGCACGTTCTGCTCCCTGGCAAGATGCAGCGTGTGCTCCCAGGTGAGAGCAGGCAGGGGATTCTGCTTGCCCCTTGTGCTTTTCTTTTCCCCAGGACAGCTCCGCTGGTGTGTGTCAGTTCCAGCCCTTTCACTTTCGTTCATTCAGTGCGGGTACCTCTGTGCTTTGGACTCAGCACAGCAACGTTTTGAGTGCAATTTCTTCAGAGACACTTGAGCTTTGTTCTCATTTTCTTGTGCCCACTTCATTTTCCCAGTATCATCTCTCCCTAGGCAATGAATCCATGCTCACTACTGCAGGCTGCTAACAGCTTGCTGGAAGACAGATGTTTAACTCTTTAGTTTGCCACAAAAAGAATGAGTATTAGCAAAAGGTGGCACCCTGTATTCCTTCTTGTTACAGTTTACTTCCTGAGTCAGTAGTAATCCAGAAATACAGTGAGTGGCTGCAGCTTCCTTTCTCTCAGCTAAGCACTGAAATTTGGCTGCAATGTGGGTCAGACAACCTGGTTGTCTTTTCAGCTTAGGAGACATCCTCCCCACCCCCTCCCCGCATTGTAACTTGGTTTTCCAGTGTATTTATTTACTGTTTTTGTGAAAGTAAATATTTACGCCTTATTTGCAAGGAAGTTATTTTCCCCTGTGTGCAATGGTCTCGTAATTGCACCATTATATTTATTTAAATCAGAAAATTAAGGGGCTGGATCTCAGATACACGGGAAGATGCTTCCTGCTACAAACATGGGCAGCAATCCCTCCAGCACTATTAAAATGAGCATGTGAAAGCTGAATTTTCATACTTCAGACACAAAGAGAGCTGGTGCTTTGATCCTGAAATACTAAGAGTGTAAGGCTACTTAAAACCCCAGTTGTGTGACACTTGTTAAGGTGGGTATCAGGGAAGCCCCACTGCTGCAGGGGCAGCTGAGAGCATACAGCTGCCTTTGTTAATCTGTTCCAGGTTTTCATTTTCTCTCTCATGCAGCAGTAGCATCCACTTCTGAGCAGCACGCTCTCCTGTTCAGCCAGGTTTCTCCATGACTGCAGCACAGGTGTAGAAAGCAGGGAGCTAGCCTTCTCAGACACTTCTGTCATAATTTAGATGTTGGGAAGTTGTTTTGAAAGGGAAAACGAGGCTTTTCTATCAGCACTATTCTTAAGAGGAGAAATTTTTTAAAAACAAACACAGGTTCTGAACAGACCATGGTAACGTTGGAGGTGACTAGGCTGGGGGTTCTGATTAGTACTTTAAAATCTGTGGCTGGGAGAGGAGGTTTCTGCTTCACCCTGCACAGTGGTTTCTTCCTGTGGCAAACCACCGACTGCTCTGACTTGGTGCGTGACCTCAAAGCCAAAGAGCTCCTCTCCTGAACTTACTCTGCAGTTGCCTGCAGGGCAACAGTGACTGACGGACACATCAGGGAAACAAAGTGAAGCTGCCTGGATCACTTTGGTTTCAGGTCTGATGGGAGAGGAAGCAGTTTTTTCAACAAGTGCATTTTAACATTTACTGTTCTGGGCTAGTACATTTAAAGGTTTTCTAATTCCTTCTTTCTGTGCCCTTAGGGAACTGGATAAATCAAATGAGCTCAGAGATAAAGTGTGGCCAGTTTTCCTCCGATTTAAAATCCTTTTTTCCACAGTTTAAGGAACCAAAAGTGCCATTTCAACAGCAGAAGGGCAAAAGAGAGATTTTCTACTTTTTACAGAATACGGCATAGAACCAAATTGTTTTGCTTCAGTGGTACCATTGCAGGTAAATTTGTCTCTTATTCAAAATAAGATAAGTGGGTCTTAGTATGATTGTTACTTCAACTAGTGTCGTGTTAAAATCAGTAGCAGTCCAGGAAAGCAGTATAAACTCCTGGCAGAAGGTTGTGATGATACAGCCAGAACATATGAGTTTGGTTGTTTGTTTTCCTTTATGCACTGATAAGGTGTAGATTACGTACTCAGTGTACTCCTCATTTGGAGGTGAAAGTCTTAATTCGTTGGAGCCCATTTGTGGCTCCTGGTGTTTAGTTTTGCATTCCCTTGCACAATTGGGGCAGACTCCAAAACGGAGAGATTTAACACTACAAGGGATAATTTTCTTTTGGACGGTTTTTGTAACGTGCTGGGGTTTTAAGCTTTATTTTAGAATTATAAGAAGTTTGTCTTAAATTCAGCAATTTTCCTTTCTGAATTCTTTCTTTCCTTCAATTAAAAAATGCCCACAAAGACTAACCAAACCAGGGTTCTGTTGTAGGGGGCAGCACTCACTCACACTGTGATCCAGTGAGTCACAGGATTGGTGAAGTTTTGAAAAGTTTAAGACACTAAACTGCAACTGAGCTGACAATGTGCGTGTATCCCACACAGTGCAAGTTACCGTGACTGCCACTAACACGGGGAAAATGGTGACTTGGGTTATTTGGTTCTGCGAGGCACTCAGGGGCAAGGACTCAAGGAGCTCTCTTCAGCAGGGGTGTGTGTGTATCTTTGGTGACAGCAGTTAGAGAAGTTGGAAGACCAGGAGGAACAGGAACTAGCGCTGGATGCACAATCCCCCACGGCAGGGACTTAGTGAGATAAATGAGAAGAAACTTGAGTGACAGATTTTGGACAGTAGTACCCCTTATTTAAATGCTTAAAGGCAACTTGCTTTTTAGGCGAGTTGTGTTTTAGGAGACTTTGGAACTGAATCAACTGTTCCCTCCGGTGGAAAGTAATTTCCTCCCAGCTATCCCAAGATGCCAAAGATGCATTCGGAGCTAAATTCCAGGTACGCAGATGTGCTTGCACCAGCCTCTTGAGAGGCCAAGTTGCCAGGAGCTGACGTGCTGCTGATCTGCTGCGTGCATCTGGCAAGAGAGCACGGTTCCACTGTTAGGTGTTGTGCATCCCTTGCCTTTGACCAACACTGCAAACTGGGTACACACCTGCAAAGGGCAGGGGTGAAGGATAGTTTAGCAAACCAACCTGTGCCCACAGTGCCCTGCTGCTGATTTGGTGCAGCTTGTACTTCTAAAAGGAAAACTAAATGCTTTGTCACAAGTTGTAATTGGAAATCTTAGGCCTCCTAGTGGACTGCAGTGGACCAGAAATTAACTGGAGCAGCAGTTTGTTTTATGGCTTACACTAACTGTTACCAGCCACTGGGAATATTCTGTATCATACTGGAGATGCAAGTGTAAGAAAAAGTGTCATTGCAATGATGATTTGTCTGTGCAGCAAACTTGTGCTGAGTGCTGTAAATACATTCATGTTTACTGCTTTAAAAAGAAAATTGCACATTTTATCTTTTAATGGGATTGCCTCCCCTCTTCTTCCCTTTCCAAAAAGAAAAATCAAAGCTCTTTTAGACTGATAGCTTCAGGTTGGGGGGAGCTTTGCCATATTATAAATATATATAAATATATGTATAAATATACTTTTTTAAGCATGAGAGAGGACAAAAGAAATACTACATTATAGAATACCCAATATAGATCATTATACAATGGAATATGCACAATTCAATAAAGATGTAGTTAAATTTAATAACCTGTTTTAATCCTCTGTCTTGCAGTTTTCCTTTTTCATGAGTTCAAAACCCTCCGTGTTCTCAGATCATCCATCCGTGGTTCCCCTCTGTAGGGGTTCAGGTATCTGATGGCCTACAGGTTACCACTGATATGCTCACTCTAAATAAAATCACTTTTTATTCCTTTGCACAGTTCTTTCCAGGGGTCAGAGCTGGCTGTACCAGTAACATGGTGCACACCAATTACAGGTCTAAAGAGGACCCCGTGTGAAGGCTCACCTTTTCCACCTGCCTCCTTCCTCAGGCTCACAGAGTCCTGTCCAGCTCTGCTCACAGGGAACAGCTGCTGGCTGGTAAGTGTTGCTGCGGCCCCTCTCCGGGGCCCACCGTAGGGAATGTGGCTCTGTTCCTCCCCCTGGGATCTGCTCCCAGGCTGGCCCTGAGAGCAGCACAGACTTGAGACGTTACATTCGCAACTACCAGAAAAGGAGCAATCATACAGAGGGGAGAGAGGAGCTGCTGAAGGCAGCAGGCTCTATGCCAAGGGTCATAGTTTTGCTGTGGGAAGTGCAGTGCTCAGAGATCCTCGGGGATCCTGCTGCACGCATAAATAACCCACTATCCCCGTCCCTAGTGTGTGTAAAAGTCTGTAGCCAAAGACAAGGAATGTGACACGGCTGTGGCACGCTCACAGAACACATGGTGTGTGCTTTGTTCCTTTTATTTAGGGCTCGTAACAAGAGGGTTTAGTACACAGCAACAGTTAATTCCAAGTACAATTAAAAAAATTTAAAAATTGGGTTTTGCACTCACTGGAAGGTGGTTCAAATGGCACACACAATAAAATGTTACTGGCGGCATACAGCTCCCCAGAGTCCTGTGGGCTTGGTCATTTACAGTGGGCTCTGCACTCATCCACTGCATCAGCAGTACCAAAAGCAAAAGCACAGCATGATACTCCTCTGACTGCAAACCAAAGGGGGTATCTGCTTTCACAAAAAAGTGCATGGACAAAATCCATGTTTAGACACTGACATCTCCAGAGAATTCATAGAAACTATTTGTCCATGCAAGTTGCAAAAGACATTTTTTCAAATGTGAAAAGAAGCACTTGTTCTTTACAAAAAACTCTCAGACCTGTCAGCACTTTACCAAGGCGCTGTAATGGAAATGAATTTGTACACAGCTCTTCCTGTTAGTCAGCAGTGGTAGGATTCTTCTGAAGTGTTAAGAGAAACTGGAACAAATGTTCTGCACACATTTCAGCAGGGTCTCCATGTCAGTGTTCAGCAGGCTGCTGGCTGTAGGCTGACCTCTGGACGTCAGGCTGCTGCTGCCTTCACTGTTTTGTAACAGATCTTGCTTATAAGCACACGTGCTAATAAAATTAGTATATTTAGAGTACCAAAGAAACAAACTCTTCCTGCATGGGCAGGAGATTGAACAAAACACATGGGTGGGATTTTTTTGAATGAAAGCAGCAGAACACCATGGTCTGCGAATTACTCTTTCTAACAGCAGTTGTCAAGCCTTCGTTGCACCAAGCTTTCAGTAGTCTCCCCAAGGACATGAGGTAGGGGGTCCCACTATTCTTGAAGTTTTAAAATCAGAAATAGATCAATGGGACTGTTACTACACATGGACTTCAGCTAGTGGGTGGGGGGAACCCAAACCAGACATTGTTCCCTCTTGTACTGTTCTGACCTCTGTATAATAATGAGGCAGTGCCAAATACTGGGAGATGTCAAAAGATGGGGAAGGTGAACAGACCTGCAAGCACAGTAGATTCTTCTAAGTGGCACCTAGAAGGTGTAGCCCATCATCTACCTGCTACTGCTCAGTTTCCACCACCATCTTCTCTTGAGATTAGTGTTGTAAATACTTGCCTTAGTGAATGCAACAGCGCTGTATGGTTTCCACTGCCACAGTTGCCAAGATGGGAACTGAAGTCTCTACATGGTGCTGGTAATGCTGCTTAAAATGCTGCAGTGCTTATTCAGTGACTGTCTATACCCTGAATACAAGTACTGCTTTTCTAGTAAAACCACAGCACCATGGTCTCTTCAACAGCATCCTCTAGCAGCTTCCAAAAAGTTGGCCTGCAGAGAATACAGACTCCACCTGTTTTACAAAATGTCCTGTCCCAAGGAGGAGAAGCCCTGTAAATGCTCCCAGTTCACTAACCCACATAAAGTTCCATCCTTACCAGAAAGGAAAACATGAGTTTTGCTTTATGCCTGGAGCCCACAGACATAACTAATAAAAAAGCAAGCTCATTTCCAGCAGCATTTGCTAAGAAATGGTAGAAGTTGCTAGGAAGAGCTCAGCACTAAGTCACCATCAAGCACAAGTGGGAGACACCACAGAAGCACAACAGTGTCGGTGCACAACCTTTGTCCACCTCTAGTCAACACCACACACAGAGCAGGCAGGCAGCCCACCCACCCTCTGCCAGAAAGGGCTCATCAGTCCTGCTCCTGCCTGGCTTCCTTCTCATGATCAACAGAAACGCCCTGGATAAAAGTGGCACTTGGCAGAAGCTGAATCACTGCCAATGTCAACTTTGGCTGTCACCAAAAACCTTCAGCAGCAAAGAAAGAAAATGCCCAGCAGCTGTGAAAGGAGAACAAATTGCTCTAGCAAGAACTAGCTGGGTCGAAGTCTTTCTGGCACCCACTGGTAAAGCCACCCAGCCACAGACCACAGGACCTGTAGCTCACACCAGCAGCAATCTCCAGCCGCTTTCAGGAACAACCACCTGAACTAACTGCAAGGACAAACTGAATTCCAGGAACATTATCAGCCTCCTGGTAACACACACCAGATTCTCATCTACCTTGGGGCCACGCCACACCTCTTATCCTCTAGTGAGAGCAAAGGCTCTTCAGTGCAGCAGTATCTGCCTGTGTCTCACCAGTGAGACCAGCAAGAGTTCAGGCATTGCTTCAGCTCTCTGGTGCCTATTCCAGCCAGTGTGCATGGACACACACTCTGGATGCTCAAGCATAAAATTTGCTGCTTGCCTCTCCTGCCCCTCTCAGCCCTCTGCTCTAACCAGTGAGAGAGAAAAAAAAAAAAGGTGAGGGGGAAAAAAAATGGGTGAGACACATGCAATCTCAGCCATCTCTCTTAGGCTGGAAAGAAGGCACCAGAATTAACCTGCTTCGGCACTAGATGTGGACAGGCTCTGTCAGACTTCCCCTCATGCAGGCACATGATGGAGAGGCAGCTGTAATTAACAGCTTTGTCCCTGGGGCCAAGAGGAAGAAACCTCTAATACAGCAAACCAAGGCAAAATACACCGCTAGAGAATGCTGAACGATTTCTGTGCACAATGAAAACAGCTGGCTGGGCTAAGGCAGTTCTCACAAAGGGAGAAACATACTCATTTTGGCCATAGAGCACTCTTTGGGCTATGCTGGAGCATCTCCTTCCCCCACCTCTCATGCCTACACAATCCTGCTTCAACAGCCTGTGATGCTGAACACCTTCAGGTGTGGCAGCAGAACGCAGCAGTGCAGAGATGCCGTGCACCTACTTAAAATACTGAGGTGTTTCTCCCCCACCCTAATCCCAATTGCCAGCCCCTTTTAAGTTAAACCTGTAAATTAAAAAGGGGTGGGGGAGAGAGGGTTTTGGACAAGGAGAAGTACAGGGGACAAAACTGGAAACACAACCCTCACTGACTTTACTAGCATGCAATCTATGTAACATTAATATACAAAGCCTGTTTACCTTGGCCTGGGCTATGACCATTATATCTCATCATCCCCGAGGAAGCCACAGAATTAAAATCTGTACAAAATAAAAATATGCATAAAACTCAACAAATTTCTTTACATTAGTACTGCATAATAAAGCATAAAACCAGCAGGTGGTGACCCAGAAATTCCATCCACAGCAGTTCTTGCAGGATAAACAATTCCACATGCTATCAGCAGGGACCAAACTAACCCCTGGCCCCTCGGACCAAAACCAGTTCTTCAAGGAATGTCACACATTCCACTTTCATGGTTCTGCAGCCTCGTCTTCTGTGCTGGGCTCTGGCAAGTGCTCAGCTCACACTGCTCTGCTCTCACAACACAGAAAACTTTCAAGATGAAAAAACAGCTGAATGAAGATTAAGGATGTGGGCGTGTATCACACACTATCCCCACCCACCTGTCAGAAGAGTTCAAGCACTCTCTTACACAGACTGGGTTAAAGACACATTTCACTAATGCATGACCTGCCAGCTGGAGTGTGGGTGCACAGGCACAGGGGTTCAGCTCTCACTTAGTAAATCACTGAGCTGCCCTAACAATGCATTTGAGCACTGTGGGCTCAGTCCTTGCCATAAACACATCTAAGGCAAGAGAAGCCAGAAAAGCTCTGACAGTCCTGGAAAACGCAGCCACTCTGTAAGCACCAAAGGCTTGTTAATGCTGCTGTTCAATTGCCCCTGGCTGCAAGCACCACCTCCCTGTACCAAAAGTGTAGACACTAGAAACAGTCATTCCAGTGACTACACAACCAGTGGTTCTGGGCTTGCTCCCAGAGAAATGAGGGACTGAGGGAACTGAACATGGCTGCTTCTCCTAGTCTTGCTGCAAGACAACTTTTCACAAAGAAAAAGGCATACAGGTATCTGTTCTGGCAAACACACCCAAACAATAATGCTGTTAGCTTCCAGAGAGAAGACAACAGTGCTTAGGCTACATGTGGATTGAGCAGGGGAGAAAGTAACCTCTATCTGCACACCATTTTCTTCAAAGTTGTCCCTCCTGTAGACTTCAACCAAACTAGTTTCTTGTGTGTGTCACCTTGCACAAGCTCACAGCAGGTGATCATGTTCCTCGGGTCCTGCAAACACACCTCACCCATCCGTTTTCTCATTCTTCCCCCTTAAGCAGCTACGGCACCTCCCTGCCCAGCTTTGCACCAAACCTGCGCCTCCATCCCGGTATTGCACCAATTACCAGGGGATTGGCATTACCTGTCTGTTGCCAATACCATCGCAAACCCAGCCCTGGTGGTGCTCTCTTGTGCACTGCTCTGCTTTACACACAGGCCTCTCCAAGACAAGTGCAGCATTGTCTCACCTTGGAGAAGCTACTGTTGGTACCAGCTGGAACTCGGCCAGGTGACAGTCAAAAGTCACCCAGGACAATGCCCTGGCCCAGGAGGCTCTCATGATACACAATCAGCTCAATTTGCAGGCTAACAAGACTGAACAGGAAATTTAATCAGTTATGCATGATATTTACTCAAAGGTAACACTTAGACCTTCCCTTAGGCAGATAGTACAGCCATCACTTACAGTGATCTGCTGTGTACAATCACAGAGCAGAATTTTTAACTGAGACTAGATTAAAAAGCCAAGTATTATCACAAGGGGCTACAGAGCCTTCAATTGGTATTACTCCACCCCAAGCCACCAGTACATCTCAAAATATCTATTATAATAAACAATGGGGAGGGCTAGGGGAAGAGCTAGAACTACTACTAGTTACTGCTTGGATTTCCATGGGAAACCAGTACACACAACAGCCCTTTTTACTTCCACTGCAGAGATTTTGGCAACAGACATGAAGACGACAATCGCCGTTTGTCCTGCCTCCGCACAGGGCTCTCACAGTACATATGCAAATCTAGTCATCAAGTACAAAATAGCCAACTTACAATACCTGATTGGATTTTTAACATTATATTGTGCATAAGACTAAAGTTGGGGGCAAGTTTCTCTAGTGCAAGCAGGCATGAGTAGATTTGAACCTTGGACCACACCCCCTAGAGTTTATCCTCAGACCCCAGGAGGACCTGTAAACTTTGTTTCGCCTTCACCCTCAACGGCACCTGTGAGTTCTGTTTGAACTGGCAGCAACCATGGCAAGGAGCTCGCTGTGGAGAGGAGCACATTTACATCAGTGCAGAACACAAAACAAATATGTGGCATTCAAAAGATAAGGAAATGGGGGTGGGGGTCCTCTGGGCTGCAGCCATCTTAATTGTCTGAACTGAAAGGTGAGTGAATGAAAGCCAGCTCTGTGTGCCCCTGCGTCAGCCTACGTGTGCAGAGCAGCTGCAGAAGTGTTTACGCTAAAGATTGATCCAGCTATCTGGAAGGCAGTCACAGAAACGTCTCTGTGCAGAAATCCCAGTGTTTGCCAGCACACGGCTGTTCTTCCAGCTGCACAGGAGTGTAGTGTAGAAACAGGAGGGATGTCCACTGGCCAGTAACCTTCACCACAAGCATCCAGGACATCCCCGGTGCCAGGCATTGCTGCCAATGGTAGTACCACGGGGGCACACAGGATTCCTGAGACAGATCCCAAGGCCTGTCAGAAGAAGTCAGAATTCGAGTGAAGTATCGGCTACTCGACAAGTTTGTTACATCTGAATGGGTCAAAGTCAGATGGCTCAGGATAGCCTCTGCTGGCCGCTGGAAGAGCCATTTGTTCAAACAACTCAAATCACTATTGTTTTATAATGAAGGGGAAAAAAAAAAAAAAACCAAACCAAACCCAAAAGAGTGGTTGTTACATTTATCCTTCATTCAGTTATACTGGATTGGGCCCCAGAGGCTGGTGGAGATCTGGGAAGCCCTGACAGCTCCTGCAGCAGGAGATGCAGTGTTCTGTCCTCTAGTCTTCACTCTGAGTAATGCATGATCGACTCCACATAGTTCCCTGGGAAGAGCCCCGTGACTCCATTCATGACCCCCTCATACCAGCCATCATCATTTTTCTTGATGACGTAAATGATGGCACCTTCCTGAAATGAGAGCTCATCTTCTTTGTCCTTGGTGTAGTCATAGATCGCCACCACTAGGAAAGAACAGAGCATGACTGTTAGAGGTACAGGGAGGAGGAGGGAAATCAAATCACCCTATCTCATCCAGGCAATCTCAGAGCTCCACTCCCACCCAGTGTGGGCGCAGAATGACCTGCTGAGAGGGACAGTTTCTTACAAAGCCTTTTGTAAGAGCTCATGCTTTGAGGCACATGAGCCTTTAGCTTTTCTATTCTTGTTATTTCCAGACCCATCAGAGGAAGTTTACAACTGTATGAAAAACTTTTGGTGTGGAATGATACAAGGAGGTGAATGTAACTCCTCATGGCTGTGACCACTCGGGTTTACTCCAAGATTCATGTATTAGATGTATGTGCTGAAACAGATCTCAGCACAACTAAGACCTGGAAAACATGAAGAAGGAGTATAGTAAGAGCTCTCTTCAGATCACAGTAAGAATGAGCCAAGGCTGATGTCCCAGGCTTCCATCTACCCTAGCTACTTCCACATTTAGATCTCTAAAATGCATGCATGCACTCTCAATAGCCAGCAGCCACGCTCAGGGTATATGGCACCAAGGTGAGTGAATCCTGTTAGGAGCAACAAAGAAGGTGGGAACAAAGTGTACACATACTGTATCAGGACATTTTTTTACAGCTGCAAAATATTTTACCGAAGGCACAAAAGTTGTTAGAAAAGTCAAAGAAATTGGACAAAGCACTGGCAAATATTAAATAAAACATTGTCCTGATATGGAAGAAAACAGACATCAACTTGATACGTGTTTCCGTTCTCAGTCCTATCATTATGTGTTCCATACAGAAAATGAGCTAAGCCAGACTCTGAGTACTTTAACAAATAGCATCAATCACTGCTTTGAGCACTTGGCAATGCAACATACAATGCTGCCACTGAAAAAAAAAAATAGATGTTGGACAGGGATCCTAAAATCTGGTACTGGGGATAGATAGGAAGATACTCTATAAACTAAAGCAAGGATTAAAATTTAACAGCATGTGTTCATAAGCACACTGTCTGAGAGTCCTACTAAACTCATCATTCCTTCCAAAAGAAAAGAGGTCATTTCCTTCTGAGGGAGCAAAGGAATCAACTCAAATATTTACTAGGGAAACCTGAGATAATACAAATCAATTCTGGTGGAGAATCAGAGTATGAATCGAGATTTATTTTTTTTTGTATTATTTGAGTAGAGCATATTTAAAAAGCACATGTTGTTGGATCTACACTTGTGCCAGCAGTTAAGTAACTCACTCGAATTACTTTTAGATATATAATTCTGTGCAAACAAAACACAAATGGAGAAACGAGTAAATTTTTAACTTGAAAAACAGAAGTTGCTATATGAACACGTACTGTGTTCAATTGTAGTCCTTCAAATTCTTTTTTAATTGTTAATTTTAAAATGTCTTCCTAGAGTCACTGTGCTACTTTTCTTCACTGTCTCGATAATAATAATCCAAGGATCATGGTAACTTCCAGTTCCTTTCTTTCTCACATTTGAGTATACTCTAGTCCCTTCTGATACTGAATGGATTCATTATTTCATGATTACAAGAAGGAAATTCTTCCTTAAGTTTGTGAAGAAAATTTGCCTCCTGTCAAGCCTCTTATAACATTACTTGAAGCGTGGCTTTGTTTTTACATCACCACTGCTTCCTCCAGCAAGTTATTTTTGTACTGGCAACATTCCTCTCTCTAAAAGGCTGTTTAATCCTTCTGTCTGTAGTCTCACCAGTTCAAGCTGTGAGCTTGTCACATGCCATGAGTTACCTGGAGTCCAGGCCAGTATTGCAAAAAAGGCTCCAGATGAGACAGGAAGCAGCAAGAGTGACTCAGGAGGTGGCATCCTTCCCTGTGAGCCTGAGCCAGAGCCTCTTCTCGCTTCTATCTGAACGCGTTTCAACGCAGTTATGAAAAACAAAATTACTCATTTAGGTTGATATTCTTCCAATCAGTGATCTTTGGTTCTCCGACAATTACACAGAGTTTGGCTGAACTCTGTTGCATCAAACTGACCACAGACGTAGGCCAGGCTGGATACCCAACTGAAATCTGTCAGCTGTGACCACACATTTTCTCTATGTGGTATGAGGGCAATTTTTCCTTCTGGGTACCCATTTACATTCATGTGATTTGCAAAGCCAGAAGATTTTCTTACCTTTTCATGCCACACATCCAGACACAGAGCTCAACAGAAAACTGCAGTGCGTGTCCCTGGACACTACAGGTTGGCTGTTGCTGTTACAGTGGTGTCCTCAAGCTCAACATCCCCAGTAACTTTATCCAGCCTAAGAATTTCTCCATCAAGATGGATCTGCTATTCACTTCCTTCTCAGCTGTAGGCCACAGTATATCTCAAAGGTAGCTCCCCACACTGCTTGACCTGTTTACAGAACAGGGTCATACTGAATCCTCTTTTGATATGCAGAAACCCCCTGTATTCGACACCTCCTTGGTGTCCCAGCTTCTATAGCAAAGGTCATCTACCCTAATCCTCTTAGAAGTGCTTTCATGTGAACTTAAATAAGAGAACAGTCATACCAAAAGAACAAGTACAAATCCTAGAAACTGCTACTCTACTTATTGGGGGTAAATGTGTTGGAACAGCCACTTACTTCCATCCATTTTGTCTGGCACAGAATACTATTTATAAGAACTTAAGGAGTTGCCACAGGATAAATTATTTTGCAGAAGATAAAGCATTATAATTCCCAGCAGGATAAGCATTTTTTTGAGTATGAAAGCCCTCTTTTAGCATGGGGCTTTTCATTAACTTTAAAGCTTCAAAGCTTGCTACAAAAAACTCACAGCCAAGCACTTTTCTCCCAACTCCGGCAAAGCAGTCAAATCTCAAGTTTTTGCATGGGTCTCTCCACCAACACAAGACAATGTTTGGCTTCCTATACTTTTTCTCTCCACAGAAAAAATGTTCTGACTAAAAGCCTGACTTTCTCCCACTTATCTTTAAAGACTCCCCTATACAGTTTTGCTATCCCATATGCTTTTCCCTGTAAATATCAAACTAAAGTGCCTGGACTGCCTGCTGAGAGGTAACAGATCTGTGCATATTTGCACCTATATAAACTATTTGAGTTCACAGCCTCACAGAAGTCACACAGAAAAGTGTAACAGAACAATATGCTATATCATTCAAATGTCATTATTTCTTCCAATAGAAAGATGTTTTCCCAGACCACGTGTACACACACACACATCTCTTGCATTAGTATGAGAAACTATAAACAGGCAGTGCACACACCAGGATCCTCTATTTTCTCTTTTGCTTTCAGCTGCAATGTCACTGGAGATGTGCTAAGGGCCAGGTGGCAGGGATAACAAAAACCTAACAAAAATACGGATACAAATGTAGAATTAGGCTAAAGCGTATCTTATGCCTGGAAAAACACAAGGAGAAACCTTGGGACTTAATCTCCTATCAAAAAGTAATATGCCTCCAATCTTCATCCAGTACTAAATCCATCATCCACAATGAAACTGAGCAGATACTATCCATTCTCAGACCTGCCTGATAAGGAGTTCATTAAGTAATGTAGCACATCCAGTACTTGCTGAAATGACCTGTACTAGTCCCAGCCTGAAGAAGATTTGCCATCCTCCCCCAAAGAAAGAAATCCAACATCAGGAACCCCACCGCCCTCCAAAACCTGATTTTCAGGAGCCAGGTAACTAATATCAATTATCAGGAATACCCTCCAAACTGCACAGCAAAAAGAGTCTTATGAGCCTGGGTACTCCTTGCATGAAAACACACGAGCTAGATGGGGTTGGGGAGTAACAAAAAAACTCCCACATATTCCTCCATCTCCCTCAGGTAGCATCTTTTTCAAGCTAGAGTAGCAGAAAGCGCCTCTTCCATCTGTTTTCCCCTCTCCCCTCATGTCCTGCACTGGGCTTATCTTTGTGGCATTCTTGATTTTCCCTCCCCAGTGCAGCGTGAATGGGTCTAACAATCAGATGAGACGCCTGGTTGCTTTGTGACATTAGATTTTATATCGTAAGAGGTACCACGATCCTGCTTCACAGGAGAGCACACACCAAGCAGTAGATCTTTTCATACTCAAGTGCCCCATCTACCTACTCGGGTTTTTTTTCCCCTGTAGTTTTACTCCTGCATGTTTCCACACCTGCTTCAGCAGGGGAAGACACTACAGATGCAGCCACTGCAGCAGTGCCTCAGTTAGTCAGTCCCACACAGATCCAGCATTTTCTAGCTTAGCACAGCCCCACACTGATGCAGCATTGCAGCTTCCAGAGCCCCAAACACAATCACAACACTGTTTCATTCACTTTTGACCTCATGATTATCAGGATTAAGCGAAAGGTGAGTCTTAGGTAGGTTAAGAGAAAGTAAAAAAATATGTAGTTAGCCTGTTAGTCATCACCTTTCCTTTGGGGAAAAGAGTAAAAGAGTCAGACTTGGAGGAGCAGCTTAACTTTCATTCTTTTAAGTCGCCATTTGGAGGAGCACCTCTACCACAATACCAAATACTGGCTATGAAAGAGTGTAGGCAGACTCCATGTCCAAAAGCAGGATGACAGGAGCTCATAAAAACATTGTTACAAACACAACCCTACTGTCTCTACTAGCTCTAAACCTACCCTTTTCTAAGTATGTCCTTGGTGCCCAAGGAGGATCCTCCTCTGCATACGGATCACTGTACTCCACCACAGCTGCTTCCTCCTCCTCATAATCTTCTGGAGGTGGGGGTGGAGGTGGAGACTCATCAAACACTGCCTCATCCACAGGCGGTGGCGGGGGAGGAGTATCTGAAACTGAAAATAAGCAATAGTACAGCCATGAAAATGTCCCTATAACCATGGTAGCAGGTTGAAGTAATACTCCCTATCCCAATTAGTTGCACTGGGACCAACAGTTACAACTTGTGAAAATACACTAGAGACAATAAAATTCAGAGAAGGAAGGATCAAGTACCTCCAACAAAATTACTTTCTTTTCCCACCCTTCACAATTACAGACAAACTTGCAGAGACAGTAGAGAAGGCAGAATTCTGGCTATATACAGTCAAATCTTTCATCAACACAAAAGCCACATCCAGTAATAAAACATAGCACAATGAAGCAGCAAACTTACTGTTTTCTTGAACTCTGGCCACAAATCCCATTAGTGGTAACTGTGGAGTTACCTGTAGGATGGAGGGGGGAGGAGGAGCAAGGGATGCTGCCACAGAAATTAAAAAGAGAGAGGCATTCAGTTAGAAACACAACAAAGCAGCAAACAGGAAAGTAGACATCATCACCACTCAGACAGTGTAGCAGGCTGCCAAGAAGCTGAGATAAAGAGACTGACATTCAAAGAAAAATGGCTCCGGTGCTTTAAGGATGTTCCTAATCCTTTCTTCGAGGCTATTTCTCTATTTTTAAAATTTGCAACCCAGATCTTTTTCATAACGTTAAGAATCTATGCTGAAATATTTTTCTGACTTGACTGTGAGATTCCCTTAAGATGAAGTTTATTCCTAGAGAATATAGCACTTTATGAATGGACCTAACTGACAAATTTATCAAGAGGACTCTTTCCCTATAATCCTCCCCCTTTCAGACCTAATTGATATTTATAGAGGTGACTAAAAGCACCCAAAAATCCCTAGTAATGAAAATGAATATAGCTCTTTTTCTCCTCAAAACGTAGGCCAAAACAATCCCATCAAATACGGCAGTTATTTTAGACAAAACAGAGAAAGGTGCCTTTTGAGAACGGTGCATATCTGAAAGACACAACACTCCTGATCTTATTGGCTGAACAGAGCACACCGTGCTGCTGTCAAACCACAGGGCCTATTCCAGATGTGCTGCCTCATTTCCTTCCCACCTGACTTCACAGACCACTGCACTGAACTCTGAACAGCCCTTTTGGGAGTACCAGAAGAGCTGTCTTTGTACGATTTATGTGAATTCACAATTAAAGAAGATACTCTCAGCCAGCTGCACATGTTGTAACACTGAACTGTGGTTTTAGCCCAGAATACAAGTTTCAGTTATCTAGTTAAAAAAATCATCTAACTAGTTTTATGTGGGTTTAATATCACTTTGAGTAATGCAGTAATATTCTTTAAGCAAGTTGCAAGATTATTTTTCAGAAAGCACACCTCAGGAAAAGCACAAATACATAATTTTCTTGTTAGTATGTGGCATACAAAAAACATTTAATCATGTCCAGAAGGATGAAGGGAAAAAGGTCTACACTTCATGTACCACTCCACTGCAGACAGAACTAAATAAATTGCAGACTGATTCCAGAGCTGGTAAGAAAACTGCCAGGTATGATGCAGTATTTTTCAGAATTAACTCACATCATCATAGCAAGAGAAAAGAACTCCATGGCATTTACAAGTCATGTGTCAAAATTTCTTCTGTTTGCTCACTCCAGTAATCACTATCTGAAACTCTGAATTTCTTCTGTCACTCACATTGACATTCCTTTCACAATCACACACCATAAACAACAAAAACCAACAGCAACCATCCTTTTTTGTTATAAAACATCTTTGTACCTCCATACAAAGCAAGTTCCATTATCTCACCATCTAATTGATATCTCTTGACAAAAGCTGAAATACATTTCTGATTACAGTTTTTTTGACTTGAATGACGTGACCTCTGAGAGTATTTGCTTTTTCAAGTGTAACCGCAGTACCTGGGAAAAGATTTGGTCTTGCATTTTTTCAAAGCAAGAAAAGGGAACTTGAAGTCCTGCTGAGAAGCAGTAATATTCATGAATTCAGCATTCTTCTGCAACTATGAAATCCTTGGTTTTTTAAATATATATGCTACAAAAATGTTCCATTTCAAAGTGGTTCCTCTATTCAGCATCATATGGATTCATAAATTCATATCTATCATAGACTAGCTTTGGTCTCCTTGGTCCATTCAGTGTACTTTGGTTGTGAACTATATATATTTCTTTGAAAGAAATAAGGCGAAACATTTTTCCATGGCGAAAAATTAATCACTCTAGACAAACACTCCAAGCAAATAGAAAAAAATCCCTTAGTTTACTTTGGGTTGTATAGTTTAGTCAAAATGGTGATGCTAACACTGGCTGACATCATTCCTTGTTTACCTTAACCCTCTGGTTTGTACTTCAGTCTGTGCATTGTGCAGGGACTATCATATTATATTTTATTAATATTGGTCTTGTTTATACAGAGCATCAGAAGAACTTTAATGTAGCTCTGCTGTCTCAAAATATGAGCTAGATGCCAGCTTAAATGTTGCCTCCCACCTTCCTTCCATACTGACTGACCACCAATAGATTCACAGTTGCTGTAAATTAATTCAGAAATGCTGACGAGCACCTTCCCCTAGGTAAGAATTCAGCTGTACAAACAGGGTGTAGTGCCCACCTCGATACTTGCCCGGTTTCTCCCACAGGGTTTTTAGCCTGTGCTGAGCTCTATACTGCTTAGATACTGGTATCTAAGGCTGCAAAGTTAAAACACTTGTTAGGTGGTATGGCTGGCAAGAGTGGCTTTGGGACAGACATATGCTGAGATTATTTAGGGTCTGCATTTCTTAATATTTTCTTTTCAGTTGCTAAACCATGAAGTCTAACCATGAAGCAGAACAATTATATTATCTTTGAAGTGGCATTCAACGGAACATGGCAATGCAAGTATCTTTCATCCTCGTGACAAGTGAACAAACAAACATGACCATGTCAACATACTAGAAAATGGCACTGGAAATAACAGTACTGTGTTATTGCCAAACAGCCTACAAAGAACAAGAAGCCATAGCTGGCACACTCTTATGCCTGTTGTAAGGTCTCTTTTTCACCTCTTATGTTTCTATTTTCTCCCTCTCTTCAGAAATGCTGAGAAGCAATTGTGGTCTCTCTGTCCTGTCACTAACTAACCCTGCTCCTTACAGACACAACAGTGCCTCTGTTCTTAGGGTCTTCATCAATTATGCATGCTTGAGCATCCTCTCCTTTCAAGGTACACTCCAAAGAAAACCTGGTTTAGTATAACTGCAAAGCTAACAAACTCTGTATTCTGCTAGGTATATTAAAAAAAGTCTCTTACTAAAACTGTTTATATATATTGTATTAGATATGCCAGTATAATTGAAGTATTTTGTTTGTAATTTACAGTTCAAGTGACTAATCACCATAATCATTATCTTCTTTCTGGGTACACAGACTGAATGTGGTTATGTAACTTCTTTAAAGTCTATTTGGCATCTTCTGTGATTACCTATTAACAATGCCATGGCAGCTTGCAGAGAATTATCCCTTTGCTAAAGCAGAAATGCACAGCAGTTGTCAAAAACTTTCTGGATATACTGAAAATCCTCTTAATTGCAAAGTTAATCCTGAAAGGTTTCTTTCATTGCTATTACTCTTTCCTTCTTGCCTATTCCCCCCTTCAGCCTTCAATATGCACGTAATGTGCTTAAAAAATACAACATATTTCAGGCAATTGGGCTACAATTTAGTCATGTAACTTCTTCCATGTCCCTGTCCCCAGCAGGACCACCCAACTTCCTTCTCAAGTTCAGCACACACATCTCTCTTCAGGGTAGCTCACAAACAGTAATATTTGAACCTGATCAAATCCCTTAAATGCAGACTGCAGCATTTGACCTAATTCCAAGTTCAGTGCTCAACTTTGAAAAAAGCCAACAAACACACACATGCCTCAAAACCCACCACCACAGCCACCACAAAACACCAACACACTGTAGTGCTTGCAAGTCAACTTTCAATCTTGCTGCATCTTTCTGTAGCTTTGTCAAAAGAGAAACTCTTCCTTACTCTGGTATCAAAACCTTCACGTCTCCTCAGAAGCACGGGACAAAGGACTCCTCAGACACAAGGCTGCTGTGTTATGCTGACACACAGGCCATGCCACTCCCTGTTAATATCTCATCGTACTCTGTAAGGCAGGTTGCCCATTAAAATAACATCCCTCAGAGGGTTAGAAGATGACACAGTTCCCTTGCATCCCACGCCGAACACCACTGATGTCTCTAAAGTGTCTAATGCTCACCCTTGTGTAACAAGTGCAATTTCTTGAACTGTCCATTAACCAGAAGAAAAAAGTACACAAGACAAAGACTGATAAATGAAGAATCAGCAAACTCAAATACCCATCCCACACCAAAGCAGGTCCATGGTGTAGCCAAGGACTGAAGCTTGTATAATAGGGACTGTGACATCAATAAATAAATTATTTGGCAACAAAGCCAGTATTGTTTTAAGCTGTTTGCCATAATGGAAGCTGGACACTCTGCACTTGCACTGCAGGTTTGGCATGGCTACCAGCAACATACTGGAAGTGCAAGATCTGCAATGGAGACAGAACATAAAATTTCAGAGACCTGAAGGTCATTGCTTTCACCACTGTTGAATTCAATGGAGCAGAGAAACTTTCTTACCTGGGTTCTGGTTATAAAAAGGTCCTCCATTCATCTGGTTCTGAAGGCTTGTCTGGGATGTGATGGAAGGAGGACGCCGATATGGCAAAGAGCCCCCTATTGTCGGGGGGGTGTGTCGAGATGCAGGCCTGTTCATGCTGTAGAACTGAACTGGGTGACCTAGGTGAGAAAGAGACATGTATTAGCAAAGAGAAAGACTGATGTCTGTCTTTTTTATATCTGCATTCAAGTTTCAAACGCTTGGAAAGGTTTCTGGGTTTTTTCTTTTAAAACAGTTTGCATCCTAGAAGGATGCTGCCAGACTGGCAGGACTCTGGACGTCTCAACAGCAACACATTCAACTCTCCCAACTATCTGTACTCAGCATTGCTTACAAAAGCCAGTAAGAAAATACAAAGGTGTCTAAGCTACAAAGCTTCAGAATGGAAGAATATAATTCCCAGTTATCTATTTTACACAATGGATTACAGTAACATCTTGCAAATGCAGTTATTTATAAGCCTGCAAAAAAATAACACTTCGGAGTCCTGCAATTAAGAAACATACATGTAAAAAATAATTGTATGCCATTTCCAGGATTCATGGCTGTTACTTTCTAGAACTGAAAAAACAATACTACCTATCTTAGTGCTATTCAGAAGATAGGCAGAGGATCATCTGGGGAGAAGAGAATGTTAGAAACTGCTTAAAGGATGGAATAAATAAAGTCATACTCAAAAGCCCTCTTTCAGGAGCTGTCAATTCTTTAAAACTTGCTCTCTGTTTTCATTACTTCGTGTGTTCAAGTCATTAATCCTGAATCTAAGCAAGAAATAAGTGAAGCAAGCTATTTTCTGTGCTCACATAAAGTTCTCTAGATTTTATACTGTATGTAACAGTAAGATGGATTTATTATACCCATATGGGTTATTATCCCCCACAAACTATTCTGTCTCCACCATTTGTCCCAGAAGTAAATTTCAGAGTTTGCAAGAAAACAAGGGATGTCCACTGTGGTTGAGGAGAGAATCAAAAAGGGAAACAGAACACAGGAATGTGCAATTTTTAAAAAACATGCATTGTTCTCCACCCTGATTTTATTGTTTTGCAAAACTTCACACTAGGTCAGTAAATAAAAACGCTCTGTTACTTGCTTCTAAGAGCAAATGCATGAACTAGAGATTCACATTCCTCCCGCTCTGTACAGATAAGTATATTTTTAAAAATGCACTTTTTACAGATGAGGAACAGCTAAGAAAGAATCCACCTAGTATATGGGCTTTTTCACATTTTTCCTGATGCATCTCTCCTACATATCTGTCCCTTTGTTCCTTAATGCACTGGTAGAAATTGGTGGTGACTGGAGAGAAGGAAGGAGATTAAAACCAGGGATAAGAGGTTTCTAAGGATCAAAAACTACAACCTCATAAATGGTGAATTATCCAGTTTCTTCAAATACTTTATTTCAGAGAAGCCATACAAGCAATCTCACTAATAGCACAGGGAAACAAAAGATGTAAAAAATAGTAAGTAACCAGAAATTTCTTTCATGGAATTGTGAATGTAAATTTTCAGCCATTAAAATATTAGCCTCTCCTTGATTGTGACTTGTTAAAAATACAGAAACAACATGGCTTAAGAACTGGGATACTGACAGTGCATCAAAACCAGAAAACTGATTGTGGCTTCCGTATGCCACAGCTCATCTTCTAAACATAAAAGTAGTTTAGACATCAGGATCATCTTCTGATACCAAAATTCACCACGCTTTGGAAAGTTCTAGTCACAGTTATGGATTCTAGTGTGTTTTCTAATTTTATATGAGCCACAACCTCTTAAACTAAATGCAATTTCAAGAATGCTTCTGGAACCTGGTACAATTCTTACTAAGAGATATGAACACTAATAAAGAGACAAACCAATTCACATCCTTGTGAGCAGCCTCCACTACAGTGAAGAGTAACACAGCATGCAGACAGCTACACGTGAATTTGGCTGTCTAAAGGAGATGCCTACAATGCAGGTTTGCCTCCTCATCAAAAGCTGATACAGGACAGTGGGGTGGTTGGTAACTACTACGCACTGCAACTTCAGCATGAGAAAATGAAAACTGCAGCACTAAAAAAAGGAAGTTGCAATATAAACCTAAGTATCACATATTAAAACAAAATGCTTTAATATTATTCTGCATAACAAAAACCTGTACTTTACCTAATACTGAACACAAAAAACCTGCCCTTTTATCAGTTCCTTGAAGGGAGACTTGTCATTTGAAAGCATTGAAGAGACCAGTCATATAAATTATACTTTGCTAGATGCACTTTTTATTTATTCCATTAATGAAAAAGAATAATCCAATCCAGAACTATCAGTGCTGTTTCCCTCCAAACATCATTCCTTTGTGAGGTTCTCAGTATCCAAACAGAAATAAAATTACAACTTAAAAAATAATTATAGAACTGTAAAAATAGTCAAATGACAAAATTAAATGATCACTGTTTATAAAACTAGCACACCTTCAATTGCCTACTGTAACCTTACTATAACCTTATTGTTGGGTAGTAGCACGTATTTTCTAATTATAATTTAATTTTTAAAAAAATTATTAATCACTGCTGCTGACGTCATTTTGCAAAGCTTTGGATCGTGATCACATCTGGGTTCATCTGCCAGCAGCTGAAGCAGACACTCACCTGTAGAGGGTGTGGAAGAAACAGCGGGGGGAGTTGGAGAGGTGAAGCCATCAGCAAGGGGCTGAGCTCCTGCAGCAGCAGCAGCATCTGGGGCAGCGGAGGGAGGGGCAGGAGCAGGAGGAGTGGGGGCAGGAGCAGAGGTAGCAGGAAGGGGAGAAGTGCCAGCTGAGCCAGCAGGGGCTAAGTGAAGAGAGGAGGAAGAGGTGGAGTTAATAAGGAGATATGTTAGCAAGGATTAGAGAAAGCCTTTGACTATTCAGTGTTAGCTCTTTATTAGCTGCATAGTATTTTAGAATGCACGAGATGAGAGAACAATGGAGCTGTTAAAGAAAGGCTCATTCCTATGTAGATGGTAAATGAGGGTCAAGTAAATACACTTCTTTCCAGATCTGAAGGGAATGACCCAGAACTTTTCACTGAAAGCCATCACTTTTGAAAGATGTCTTTACATTTCGTTATTTATGCTTCAATCTGTAGCATGGCCCACTTTAGCTTTTCTATGAATTAGAAAATATAAAGAGGAAAGCAAAAAATTTCCATCTCTTTGTTTCAGAAGCATCATGTACTTTAGATCATGCTGCAAGCCAACTATACACTCTTCTTCACTGAAAAGGTTGAGCAAAGGAAAAAGAAACACTAATAACACCTCCTATATCTGGAAAGACTGGGGCCATTACACTGAACAAATATCTCTTTGTGACAACTCAGGCTTGCATTAATGTACTGAAGATTTACTCTGTGCCTGCCTCTCATTTAGTCTAATTTTCTAAAAACATGCTTCTATGTATCTGCATAAACAGCCAATGAAAAAACATTTATTTACTTAAAAGGACAATGGGGAAGTTTCCCTCAGCCCACTGAATAAGGTGCTGTGTCCTACCTTGCCACACGCAGGCAGTCAGGCAAAAAATTCTGATAAACAAATCAGTACATAAAAGGAGCATAACAGCACATCAGACACTCTCAGAGAAGATACTAATTGATTCAAACTCATACTGTCAATAGCAATGAACTCAGACTTTCCTTGGAGTTTAGGGAAACTGCAAGTGCTCAAGGTTACTGTTGGGTTAGAAAGAGGAACAGCAAGTTTCCATTTACCTGGATAGACACTAGGAGGAGATGGTGTTGGAACAGCAATGGGAACACCTACACTTCCACTTCCACTGTTCTCTCGACTGCTGCTCCGACTACTTGGGTGGCTTCCTCCACTACTCCCACTGCTGCTGTAAGAAACCAAAATCACCAGGGTATGAATATGCTGCTGAGCATGCTGAAACCTAAGATCCCTCATATAGCACCTTACTACATCAGAGAAATAACAGGGAACAAGAGAAAAGAAACAAGGATGATATAAACCTATATAAAGCTGGATTTTCCTAAAACTCTTCACTTGGACTACAACACAACAGGTTTTCCAGTTAGTCTTAGTGAACTTGACCAAAAATGAAACACTTGTTCAAAGCACATTATTCCAGGATTATTAAACCTCTATGGAGCAAATACAGATCTTTTTCCTATAACTTTAAAACATGTAGACTGCTTAGACTGTGATTCATGTGCTTTCATATGAGAAATTGTAAGATAATAAAGTAAAATTCACATTTCTTATACTTTAAGATTCCATCTGTTTAGGCATCCTCAAGTACTTACAATGTTTAAAAAGTAAAGAATTTCAGGGAAGTATTTAAACCTACCATATCATGAAACTTATTACCCTAAAGAAAAGGCTAGTCTTCTAGCAGAACCTTTGGTATTATAGTTCAGCTTTATTCTGTTTGAAATTATCAATATCTTCAAAATACTATGCTACAATTTCATCTACTCAACCTGTAAACTTCAAAGACTGATCAAAAATGTCACATGTAAGCATACCGTGCAGCCCTTCAACATACAGAAGGCAAGATGTGTACAGAATCTTTCCCCAGTTTTAGAAGCATTTAGTAAAATAGTATCATGGTCTACCTCCTTGAAAGACTTCACAATCAGTAATTCATTAAGTATTGTAACTGACAGCAGTAAAATAAAGGTGAATAGGGGGATTAAGTGAACGACGGTAACATAATTCACTATTCTGGTTTTATTAGTGCCCATTCTCATCATGCCAAATTACGTTCCCAGTACACGTGACCGATGAGGAAGCCTCAGTGCAGAGGCAGGCGCAGACGGGTTTGACATTCGGCAGAGCACGTTCCGCGCCGTGCTCTGCGGTACCTGCAGGTGCGGTACCTGTAGGTGCGGTTCCTCTGGTTGACGGAGGCGGTTCTGACGGGGCTCTGCTGGGAGGGTGCCATGTTGCGCGTGGGGCTCGGCACGTAGTCGTTGGGCACCACCGGGGGCCGCACCGGCTCCAGCGTGCGGTACGGGGAGTGACGCCTGGCACGGCAAACAAGCCAAGGTAACATGCACAAAACCAGACTTGTCGCTCTTTACAAGACAGCTACATACTCATCACTAACGTGAACTAAAGCCCAAAGTCAAGTTCATAGACTTAACAGGAAAGTACTTTTATCACACTCAGCACAAATAATTAATGAACAGTGCCACGTACTAATTTTTCTGTTGTTTAGCACCACCTGCAAAAGCCACACAGTTAATGAAATTTTACTCCAAAGCACTTAGTAGGTGTTCTGCAATGAGAAAAACGTTCCTGTTGGGAAAGGCTGATGATGCCCACGCTCTTCTGGCAGAAACACACTAACATAGAAGACACAATCAGTATAAGAGAATGCAGATCTAACACCTCTTGATCTTTGTGAATAGTTAAAATAAAACCCCAAAAAATCCTCACACAACAGAAAAAGAAAGAACCTTCCCTCTTTTCTCTTCTGTTCACCAAAGCCATGTACCCATTCAGTAACTGCACTTACCCAATAGTTCCTTTTCCTGACATCGGTGGACTTGGTGGCTTCTGGGTGGGTGGTGTTGTACGAGGAAGCCCACCCATCTTCATGTTCTGTGTGCTGACCTGCAGGAGAGAACCGGGAGAAAAAACGGCCTTCACTAAGCTCAGCTTCTGGGGGCAGAGACACTGAGATGCCTTTAGCAATTAACTCTAAGTAGGGGAAGGTTTAAACAAACAAAAAAATTGAGAGGCCATGCGTTTTATATGCAATTTTCACTCTGCTAGAAGTCAAGAGTTGCGCTCAAAGGACTCTTTATTTCATAAGGTTTTTAAAAATTGTATATACAAAAAAGGAAATTTGCCTTCGGGCTGTCACAAACATTAAGTCACTGACAATAGAGACACTGTACCTAACTTGGCTGAACCTCCCAGTCATCTTTTGAGATAAAGGCGGTTATTTCACGTTCCACTACTGAATGGTAAATTTGCAAAAATATTTTTGAATACTGTTTAAAAATACCAAAGTTTATCTAATAGTCCACAATCTAATGTAATTTATATAGAAAAGTATACAGAAGTCAAAGTAATCTATAAATATGATCCATTAATGTTTTAATGCTTTCACAGCATATAAAATTTTTCTACAGATAATAATATTTATTGTAAATATTAATTATGTGCATGTAAACACAGAGAAAGCCATATTGAGAAAAATACAAAGATGCTATTTTTTCTCTCCCCAACAAAAGTGTAGCAATTTAATCTTTAGGAATTTATAAATAAATGGACAGGGAGAAAAATATTTAGCAGTGATGTAACTGTGCGTTGTCCACTTCCCCTCTTTCAGGTTAAAATACTAATGAAGTAAATTTAAATTTTACATAAAATAATTTCCTCTAATTTCTTTCAAGAACTCATTTGCATTCCTGACTGATTGATCAATCATAAACAGTTGTTACCAATGTAGGCCTTTCGGCTTCCTTGTAGCCTGCCAGCCAAGCATAACTGTCTCAATGCACGTATCCTTACAGGAATCAGTACGTGATCCGCTTACAAAACAGCTTGGACTCATGAATGCTTAAACTATTGCTTCGACACAGAGATATTCAACGAACCTAAACAAGTATGCTTACATCCCTTTTCCTGTTCTTCCTGTCATGCTCAATTTCAAAGTGTTTCTTCCTTCAAAAACGTAAGCCTTGGCTACTGAACCCCCTCCCATATGAAAATGAAACAGTGATCAAGGCATTCAGAGTATTTGCAAACATCGTTAAAGGCAAATTACTCCTTTAAAATTTGACTAGAACAACTCACTTGAAACCTTGGCAATGTTTAGATTTGTGAACTGATAAATATTGACAAGAGTGTAAAGAGTAATTCATTCAGTATTCTAATGCACTGCAACTTGATTTTCTGGCTCTAAATAATCCCAGTGCTATCACATTTTCAGTCTGCTGGGAGGAAAAGAAAACCAAGCATCGAACGGGGGGTTTTTTGTCTGATTCAAAAACAGATGTTTGAATTTAGTTGTGCAAGAGTACTTTGTAATGTCAATTTAAGAAAAAATTATAAAGTCCTTTAAGCCAACTCTAAGCAACAAGAAATCTAAAGTTAATTCAAGTGAGGGATGAGGTAAGCACTGATCTACAACTACTGGAAGGGAAAAGGGAAAGTGTAAAATGAATTATATTTTATTCTATACACGGAACATTTAAGAAATAGCAAAATCTGAATTTTTTTTAAAGTTGCAGCACCCCCTGTATTTCCTCTTTCATTAAACATGCCTGTTTCACCCACCTACCTATTTTGAGTTGTCCAAAAAACCCCACAAACAGACAAAATAGACCTTAATTAAATGCTCACTGAAATGTCAGTTGTTATATTTCAAACAGCCCACTCAGCCTCTGCCTTTTAGATGACAATAGACCAATCTGTGTGCCCCCAAATAGTCCATTTAGGTGTTTTAACTGCCTACACTATTGTTTTGCACCAGATGATGTAACCACTTTACATTTTATACAAATCTAAAGTTTATGTTACCTTTACAGTTAATATAAAATTCCACATATTTAACCACAAAGAATCTTATTATTTTATACACAATTATTGCAAAACCAAAAATGAACTGTTAAGCTTCCAGTAGGCTACAGCTACCTGAAAGGAAAGGACAGTTGAGGTGGAGGCTGCCATAACATCAGATCATATACAGTAAAAAGTGAAGGTAATACTTGTCTGGGTAACACAGAACTCCAGAGACTGCTAGATAGTTCATAACACTGCAAATAAACATATCCTTCATCCAGGATGGGAAAAAACCTTCATAAAATGTGTCCAAACAAAAAGCAATCCCTTTTTAGCCCAGAAACTTAGTCACAAAGAAGCCATCCCCAAAAAAGACTAAAGTGAGAGATGGAGAAATGCACTGACAGTAAGCTTAGTTTCAGGGTCTTTTCAGGGTCATTGAAAGCAAGACGTTCAAAGGGCAAGTAATTAAAATTGACAGGGTTGTCTTCAAATCTGCCAGGACTGATGGCTTTAAGACCAGCTGCTCCAAGTTAAACAACCCTATGCAAGTAACTTCCCCTTTGACTTACTGCCAAATAATCACAGAAGGGAAACTAAAAATATAAAATTATTTCAACAGTTCTGATTAAAATGGACAGATCTGTGGAAATAAAAGTATTCAAGATGTTAAAAGAATATCTAAAACTATACAAGTTGCAACTTTAGCTGAGATACAAATATTGTAACATTTCCAACTGTCTCCTATGATGACTTCAATTTGGGGGGGGAAAGGAAGCCATTAATGCCCCCTTTCTTTCAAGCTTTACTCTATTGCCTTTTCCATTTTGCACATATGGTTGTAAATATAGTTCCCCTACACAAATCCTCATCCACACATATCCCTATTACAAACTTCTAAGATCCAAAGCAACCATCAGAATTCAAGGTCACATTTGCTGTCAAGTTTCAAAAATCTGTTTTCTGGAGTAAGATGGTATTTGCCAGAAGTTGCACTGTTTCTGACATCATTTCCCCTGGTCCTGCACAGCTGGAACTACCCAGATGCAGCTGATTTAATGAGAGGGTGAAAGCAGAGGAATGCATCTGTCTGCTGGTGCTTTGTTTGACTGCAGGACCCCATAGATCTGGGGTTTGGTTTCTAGATTAAAGCTTGCAAATTATTTTAAGAAAATGCATGGCAAAACAGAGCCTGCAACCAGAAACACAGAGGAGTATCTCTGCCTTTGCTCATAAATGCCAAAACACCTAACCACTGTGCTGAAACCAGAAAAAAATGAGAGGCAGTGATGGTTTGGGCACAAAGCTCAGGAAAAAACAAAGCTTACTGATGCGAAAGCAGGAAGACAACCCTGTGAGCAGACAAGTAGGGCACAGGGTCTGTGCAGAATGCATGAAGGGATTTTTCCAATTCTTTTTTTTTTTTTTTGCCTCTTCCCACTGAAGAAAAAATAAAGCTAAAAAAATATTACCAATTGAAGTTACATGGTGGAACACCAAATAATTCTAGTGAGATCTTGGTTACGCTTTTTTTTTTTACTGGATACCTTGCAGAAGCTTTTTATGCATGAATTAGGAAGCACTTGCACTACAGAAGAATATGTCTTCTACCAAAGCTGTAACCTTGTCATTACTGGAGCTGGAACTGAAGTTTTGCTGAGGAAGAAACGGCAGAAACTACTTAGAAAGCAGATCCTTGGTAAGTAACATCATGGAGGATGCTCTGAGATCCAGCCCCACAGTAACAGCCATAAAACAAACTGTAAAGAGATGGATCCCTATGGACCATTCTCTTTCAAAAGAGTACAATAACATTTCATTCAATATTTTTTATACTGAGCTACAGTGCCAGTTTTAGAAAGGTACCCTCTGATTACTTTAAGATACAATGCAGCACTGATTACAGCCCCTAGGAAAAACTATCATTTTAAGTTTGGTGGGTTTTTTTGATAATTAAGGTGTATTAGTCCAATTTCTATTTTTGGTAACTAGTTTTTCATAGATTCCAGTGATTAAATCACCAACTTACAGTCCAACATATGACTGAGTTTCCTTCATAGTTACATTTTTATGAGCGTTTAACATACTGAGTTTCTTTAGCACTCCATTGTGCAAGAAATTTTTAGTGAAATAAACTGATAAATCCTGCAAGTTCATTCAATTTAATTCTTGAGAATGTTTTCACAAGCAAAAAAAAATCACCGAACAAGAAGTGCAGAAATACACAGTTGGTCAGATATAGTAGCTGGTCAATAGACTGCAAAAGCTGTTTGCATCGAAGCCCTGCATTTATGCAGCTGGGAGGCACTTACCTGCAACAAAGCTTTCAATCCACATTTTTACGCTTGTGAAGAACATCTCATTGTCAGTTCAAGTACCAAAAGCAAGTGAGGGGCTTTTTCTTGGTTGGTTGAGGGTTTTTTCCCAAAAATCCTGAATACCAGATATTCCACAGAATCAAACCTCAGGAGGAGATGCTTTCTAAAGCTGGACTCAGCCAGAAATTTTAAAGTGGTGCTTTACTGTCACATTGTATTTTCTAGAACTTTCAGAATGTTAAAAGAACAATCTTTTGCCCAAAATCTAGTAGGAAAAAGTGTCCCACCAGTGATGTTTCATGGATTACATTTAGAAACTCCAAGCAGCTACTCAACCTTCTTGAGCAATTTTATACCCAATTTCAGGACAAAACAAACCAGGGCTGAATGAAAACTATGCTCCCACACCTTGCTTCCCCTTGATAATGCTACAGAGACAATGAACAGATTTTTAGCCCATCATCTGCTACCTCAAAGCAAATTCCTTTCCAGGTTGTGCTCAGCCACTCGAATACTTACTGTGCATGTCTATATGCTTTTCAGCTGATTAACCAGTTTATATGGAAGTGAAGTATATAAATTTCAGCCCTTTTTGCCAAATGATCACAAGTAGAAGCTTCAGCAAGTGAGCTTGCTTACTTGTTTTACCATCTATGTAAAGTAATTGAACAATCAAGTCTGGTAAATACTAAAAGTCTTAAACAATGTCACTTTCAATTGATTTGATGGCAGGAGATGCTACACATACTCCTCTGACTTGTAATTGGAATTTTCTTCAAAATCTGCTAAAAATTTAAGTTACCCAGACACAAGCATAGTTAGCCCTGCTACAGTCAGTCAGTTTAACATAGTAGCTCTTAGCTAAGACTAAGGTTTTTCTGCAGTCATAAAAAATAAAAGCAGGCTAAACACTTCATATATTTAATCACTCACAGGTGAAGTAAAAAAACCATTCATACAGAACTGCGGTTACTTTTAGTTTTCCCATTTCAGCCTGATGCAGTGACTATAGTGAGACATAGAACACCTCGGGTCCACTGAGAGATGCTGTGCTGCTTTTGCTTTTTTTTCTTTTTTTCTTTTAAGCCCTCATGTTTTGGCAATGAGAAGCTGATTGACATATTGTGATTTCTCAGGTCAAATTTCTAATCAGGTTCACAGTAGTAAAAATACAGAAATATTTTAACTGGTGTTATAACAAAAAATGTTATTTCCATTCCAAACCTATAAGTAGAAAAAATTATTTTCTCTGAAAAGCTGAAGAGACTCTTATCGCCATTGCAGATGATGCACAGATACAGCAGTTCACGCATAAGCTACAATTATACAGTTTTTAAACTTTTTTTAGGATAGTCATTACTTGTTTATAATTGCAACTGCAGAGAGCAACAAAGAAAACTGAGTTTGCAAATTGTTTTTTTAAGAACTCTGAGAAAATGATCATCCAATATGAACTGTGTCCAGAATAAGACACAGCCAGCATTAGAAGTATCCATCTTGTGTAGACAGACAGTAAAACCCAGGGAGGAGATATATTTTGCCATCCTCAAATTTAAAGCATTTAAACACTATGTGAGTCGAAATATTGTATACCTCACATAAGTAAAAATAAAATTCAAATGAGATGTGAGAATTCTCTCATTTATTAGAAGTTTTCCATTGTTATCAGATGTGCTACATATACTTAAACACCTGACTAAAAGTACCATTTGGCCAATTTCACAGGAACATCACGGGGATATATACAGAAATACCTGGTTTTACAGACAATCTTCTCAGAAATTTGCAGGATTTTCTTTTAGCTTTTTCCAGTCACAGAAAGTACTACAAAATATTTCACATCAACTTGGAACTTCCTTTAATTCATATACTCATATACTACATATTAGCATTCTGTGTTCTCAAATACAGTTCCCTCTTTAAAACTGTGGCAGCTGCTGCTAAAAAACTTTCATTCCCACTTTCCCCAGACCAGTTGCACTTCAGGAGGAGGATGATATCCTAATACTCAATAAAGGATACAACCTATCTATTAACTAATATGCTATGAACTCCACCATAATATCATATCATTTCATTTAACTGCTTGTCTAATTGATTTGATGCTTTTTATTGCTGCTTCTGCAGCCACTAAGACTACTACCATTTAAACCTCTAAGATCCTTGAGAATCTGACATACTTCAGCCTGAGTTCTTTGATTCATTTAATATTTAACTCAATAAATCACTTAGCTTGTTGTTTAAGGGTTATTAAGTACTTTACACAATTATTTGAGCTGTGGAAGTTTCCACATACGAGTGCCTCTCAGCATTTAAAAAGTGCTAGCAGTTTCTGAAAAAATAAGAATACTGCAACTTTAAAAAATAAGATACAGATTTGAATTTGTTACACACCTTTGGAGCCCATTATTTGAGCAATCTCACACTGAAACATTAATCTCAATCAAACCATAACTTACACCGTATATAGGATAAAAAGAATATTACACAGGGGGAGGCTCATACTCAGCTGCTATCTATTCTCTGTACCTTTTTGTCTAGACAAGGCTAGCGTATCATCCCTCCCTTGTAAATGATCTGATAGATATGCTGAAGGAGTCAATGTTTGCAACGAAGCTTTTAAAATTAACTGTGTTAGCTTCCTTTCATAAACACATCAGTTTATATCACAAAATGCTTATCTGCAATGAAATCACTCAAGAGAAGTTCTGCCACACAGAAGAGAGCGCGGGTGTTGTTTTAAACAGGCAGTAACAGTCATGTTAATCATCTCCCCGTGTGTAATAATCTCAGAAGAAGAAGAATGGAAATCCAGCCCTGGGGTTTCTTACCTTAAATCTAAGCAACCACTTAATGCATAAATGGAGCAAATAAAAGAGGTAAGGAAAAAAAGCATTGAAAGGTTAGTTGGAACTTCAGGATATGAAGAGAAAGGAAAAAGAAAGAAAAAAGTTAAGCATTCAGCATTAACAAAATAATGTATCAGTAGATCATAGAAAGAGTGGTTAAAGCAGAATGTCATGAACAAAAGATCTTCAAGCTGAAACTTTTAATATACATTGACCACAAAGCCTTTAGATTAATACTTTGAAATTAATGTTCAAATGCTTGTACGCTTTTATTCAAGTTCTTACAGTTTTAACAAAAAGGCAGCTTCTTTCAAATGGATCACGAGATCTAGATGGATCAACTTCAGGGATTAATTTATTTGAGCTGTCAAAGAATAGCCTTATCAATGAGCCTGAGCTCATTGAAACTCTTACATGTATTAGCATGTATACAACTAGCGGAAACAGAAGCCTCTAAAATACTAAGCTAATATATGTTCCCTGCGAGACAAAGCTGTTAGTTAACTTGATGCCATGAGGTTTCTCTTGAACAAAGATCAAGAGCAAATCATTACATCTTGTAAGAAGTACAGCACTCTATATGGATACTGCACCATATATCCACATTTTCTAAAGCATGATTTAAGAGTTTAACCAACAGTAAAATCTTATTTTAAAGCCTAAGTGCTTGCTTTTTGACACTGAGTCCTGGGACTTACTAGCAAAATACCATATATCTTCTTTCCCCATAATTTCTTTTAAAACTACAAGTCTTTCCATTTGAATGTGTTTTCAGTTCAGTTAATCTAAATGTATTCTTATGTTTCTTACACTTCCTATAACAACATTAAGTATTCAGAATCACAATAGTAGAGCATCCAGAGTAGCTAATCTGTTTCATCCATTTCAGAGACCCTACTGTATTAAAAAAGAAACATAATCTGATTTTCTAGAAAATCTCTTATCTTTGAGTTTAAAGTTCCACGGATCAATTAGCCAATATGGGCTGTGCTTCCCAGAACTACACTGGAAAAGCAGGTTCCCCTGTACTGGCCAGAGTGGGCAGTTATGTGGGAAGGTCCATGAGCAGAGACCCAGCAGCAGTGCCTCATAGTTACAATGCCTTAATACACACCATTCCAAATGGATCACTTCTTTGTTCATCCTCTTGACTAAAGAACTCTTCAGAAGGAAGAATAGGCTGGAAGACTTTGTAACTCACAAAACATTTGAAAAAAATTGAAAGCAAGTCTCTAACACACAAAAGGTTCTCTAGATTTTTGCAGCATTGTAGCTTCAGGGAGGGAAGAGGAAGAGGGACTGCTGGGATGATACAGAGGCACTTGAATTCTCTCACACCTATTAAGAAACCACACCGTAGAGCACCCTCTCCTGAATACGCTATCCACTGCTGCTTCGAACTTCTGAATGGAAGGAGTAAGATGCTCAAGTGCCTGTACTACTTCTCTCAGCATGATATCCTGAATTTCTTGGCCAAGGATCCTCCCTTTTCTCCTGTATTATTCTCTGTTCACAGTTTGCCATCTTTCTCGGTAGTTGCAATGAATGCCTGCTGCATTAGCATTCTGACTCCTCAAAATACATAACTGTGGGTCTAAGTACTACAGGGGAAGCCCTACAGCAGAAAAAGAACAAAGAATGCAAGCTGAGGCACCCTGATGCTAACTGGAACTTTAATGTTATTTATGCAACAACTCCTTCTGAATGCTCATTTGAAGGGAAAAGTATCTTATCTCAAACAATAAAGAGCTATAAATAGGCAAATTTAAAATTTCTACCGTTTTTCCTCTCTGTTCTACAGCCAAGAGGTCTAGTAAAGTAATCTCCAGTTACTCAAGCAGAACAAAACCAACATTTCATAAGGTTTCATAAGCACAACAGGCCACTTTTCCCCCACCAGCAGAGAGTTGTTCTTTCTTCTGTCCTAAATACAGGATTACCCTGATTGGAACACATCTGTGATCCTAAGAATAGCATGATTTCATGTTCTCTGCTTATTGTTTCACAAGTACATAGTACTTCTTAATTTTCTAGATAAATACAGTGCATTGTAGATATAATTCGTAGTATGTTTCAAGTATATCACAAGCATAAAAAATGGATGTAAATGCACATTTGAGTCATCATCCATTTGATGAACAACATATGTTCCTTCAGTACAACGTAATTCATTGCATCACAGTAAGTATGACTGTCTACACTGAGGTAAGTGGGATATCAATTATAATGATTTAAAGCCAGTGCTAAATAAGATTGTGCTGCAGAGCAATTAAAAACTATTCTTTAATGAGTTCTAAAATTATCTCCTTAAAGCTAAAAGTGATTATTAAAATATTCGCAACAGCAATCCTAGAGGTTAATATGTTCCATCCATATCCAGAAGGAGTTCTGTTGACCTGCATAAATTCAGAATTTGTAAGAATTGGTAGTAGATTTTAACACAAGAGTGATAATAATTTCTTGATCAAAACGATTGTTATTAATGTTGGGGGTTTGGTTGGTTTGGTTTTCCAAATCAAGCTTAAAGAGTCACTTGTCTTTTTTAAATCTGCTTAGAGATTGACTCGTTAGGTAAGAAATGAGGGGAAGGAGACTTTCTGTTAACAAACAGGATGTTGAGAAGACCTTGTGTAAAATTGCTCAGGGAAGATATTTAAATCAAACTGCTAGGAATTTGAATTTTAAGGCTTAGGTTAAACAACCTATTGCCATTTAAATGGCTTTCCAAGCAAATAATCAATATAGAACACCACAGATAAACCTAATGCAGTTAGGAGTCAATCAAAAGAAATTCTGGTACACTTTGACTGGAAGAAGCATCTTACCTTACTGCTACTTAGCAGGTTTACAGATTTGTTAGTGTGTCATGTAAAAATTACCCCGCTTCATGTTATTTACCTTTCATTTCCTGGAACTTTAACACTGTCAGTGTTCTCATTTCCGTATTTGTTTTCCTGGCAGCACAAGTTAACAATGAGCTCACACCTGCTAAGACTGTGTTTACATTCAGGATGTGCTTTTAAAAATGCATATCTAATCTCACACATGATATTACTGCTGCTGTGTACACTGATCTAACAGCCACCAGTTGTGTCTCAGTCTGATCTTTGCCCTGAAATTCCTTCTTTTTTCCTAGTCTTAAAAAGGAGAACCAGCTGGCTTCGAACTTGGCAGCAAAATTCCCATCCTGAAACCCCACGTGGCACAAAGGTTGTAGAGAGCTCACTTTAACAAAGCACATCACTGGGTTTGTGTATAACTGACTCTGACAGATGGAAGAAAAGGCAGCACATAATACCTCTCACGCAAACCCTTTCTTTGGGTGAGCTTTAAAGTAAACTGGTGGCAATTACAGTGGATCATACTTTGTGGTGCTGATTCCGGCACTCAAGTGATGGTCATTAGCCTTTCGGTCCCCAAGTATATCCCTGGTAATTTACTCAAACAATAACAGTAGCATCACAAGCTGGTATTCAGAAACATTTTAAAAGGTGAGACTCACAGTCCCAAGTATCCTCAGAAATAAGATTCAGTGGGTTTGTAAGGTTTAGAAACAGTGGGGCAACAGAAGGAAAAGGGGCAACTGGAAATCGGACAGGACTCCTCCTATGTTTATAGACACACTGTCCAGGCAAGGAGAAACTGGTATATTACCATAAAAAGCATCAGATTATTTTGAAAATATACAAAGACAATGTATTTGCAGTTTGGCTGTTTTAACAATATCACCTACCTTCACTCCATGTCCAATATCATCTAGAATTGTATAATCAATAGGTTTCCTGATGTAGCGAACTGGTCGCTCCAAGTTAGCTGGTGCAATGATTTTGTGAGTTCTTGAGGTGTTTTTGTTTGTAGTCAAGATACCAATTTCTCTTCTAGCAACTTTCTCTTTGTGAATGTCCACCGTCTACAAAAGACGCAGTGTATTTACTAACAGTGGTATGCATTGGAATACAGAGTCAGTATTAAAAAAAATTAAATCAGTTCTAATGTTTTGAAGATCTCTGCACTGTGCTAAACATATACTACATATACTTGATTACATCACCTTTCTTCCATTTACTGTTGAATTAGACACCTCTGAAGCCACACTAATAGCTACTGGTTCTTTGGGTTTTCTGTTACCCTCTGTATTCTTCACACTTTCACAAAAATCCTTCTCCTTTCCATTCTTAGTAATAATGGCCAGTCTTCGCGAGCGAAGATTCAGGGAAGGTCTTTCCACCTTCCAGCCTGCGCATTGGATTTTTTTAGGTGAGACACAGTGTGCGCGGAACTGAGCCCACCCTTTAATCCTAAGGTTCATCTGCCGGGGCCAAGCGAGCTTGGACGGTGGCAGCGAGGTCCTTAGGACGTAGGTGGGTTGCCTTTAAGGGCTAACGAGCCCCACCTGCCCGGGAGTGGCCCTGACCGGGAATCGAACCCGGGTCTCCGCGGTGATAGCGCGGCGCCTTTACCACTAGACCACCAGGGGCTGCCTCATTCTTAGTAGTTCACATTAATTTACTAACACCATTTATAAGATTCTTTCACTTATCCTTTTTTATTTTACAATTGCTCTCTAAGTATGTCTTTCAAATAGGCTCCAACTAGATGAAGTGTAAGGATACCTTCTGAAACCTTAATGTTATGACCTGAAAAGCAAACCATAGGCAGGTTTTCTTACACTGAAAGAGTTTGCTGAACTAGGACTGGTAATCATAACAGAATAAAATTTCAGTCAGACAAATTGAAAGAAAAAGTATTTTAGACATTACAAGTTACTCATCACAAAGCAATGATTAGATTTTAGAAGGTGCTGCATACTAATTTATCCAAAATAAAGCCAGAGGTTAATCCCAGTGCCTTCACTCTGAATGCCTAAGGTCAACACTGAAAATCCTTCCCTTTACATATTAAAATCAGTACCACAGGAGAATCTTTGGTATAAGAAGCCCTGCTGAAAATCTATTGCCTAAAAACATGTATTTATATTTTATTAGGTAACAAGACTAGGAAAATGCTATCAAAAGGTCTATCTACCCCTTCCAGGAAAATACCATCTCTCGAATCATGGTGCCTCACTTAAAACCAAAATAATTCCTTGTTCAGAGAACAGCTTTCCTTATAGGAAATTTGCCAGAACTGTGAACAGACTATTTTAACTAGAGAACAAAAAACAAAAGTAAGAAAACATCCAGAATAACCAGCATTAGGATTTCTAAACACTCATAGGATTTCTTGTTACCACTTCAGCAATCATGAATGGCAACAGAAACACTTTTCACAGTTAGGAGACAGGCTCTGCAGGAACCGAGGAATGGGTACAAATGAGAACTCATTTTCACAACACATTTTTTTCCATTTTATTTTTCTGTGGGCAAGGATTGGAGCAGTGGGGTTGGTAGCACTGCTTTATCCTTTTGTGCTACTGGCAGCAAGACAAAATGGAACTTGTGTTACCTTCTGCAATCATCACAACCTTTACAATTAAAAAAAATTTCTAAAAACCAAAAAAACACAAACAAACAAAAAACCCCCAAACTACTTCCAAGAAGTTGTTTCTTCATGTTATTTCCAGAGAAGGATTTCCACAAGTACCAGGGGCATCATACAGAAGCTTACATTACTATCATCAAGATTACCTAGTATTACTCAGCAACATATTTTCAAGATTTTGCAACTTGGCTAAAATTAAGTACTGAATAGAACTTAGGTACATTTCTGCCACCTCTAGTTCCACCTGCCTAGAACTGTAAGGTTTTCACTAAAGGTCCACAGATATTTCTTAAAATAAAGCTACAGAAAAATAGATTATTCAAGGTCAAAATACGCTGGCAAACCTCTGTTCGGAAAGCTAAAGTTTGTTGAGCAATGATTTGAAATTTAATAGGGGTATTTAAACTGTCTGGGACATCCTCACAAAAACCCACTCAGATCTGGCCAATATATAAACTCTGCAGAAATTCACAGATCATACAAGCTGAACAGAAACACCTATGTTTCTGCAACTAATTAGCAACTAAACCACTCTCCAGTCAATTTGCCAAAGTCCTTCCCTGATGTGAGCAGGTCTGTATGCCATCCCCCAACACAACAGTGCAGATCAGATCTTCACAGCTCCCATGGTACTACTGATGGGACAAGCACCAGTGCAAACAGAGCACCATCAACATTTTCCAGAGCACCAGAAGTGCACCACTCTGCAATGGGTAAGATGTACTATTTTATCTTCCATCACAGGATTTTATCCATTCTCTGTGCCAGACCTTTGATTTTGCAGCATAGTAGAAGGAGATGTTCTGGAAGAGATGGTCTACAGACTTCTGACCTCATCTGCTGAGGAGTCAGAGGGCACATACTTTCTTGATAAGCTAAAGATATGTGATTGCCACAACTTGGGAAGACAGTCTCATGTCTGATACCACTGAAGAATTCAATCTCTACTTCAGACTTCATCTGTGATCTAGAATTGTCACTAGAGAACTGCAGAGACATGACACTGACTCTTTTATGTTCTTTATTTCATAGGCCCCTGATACCCTTTGATAGAACGTTACAGAACTTCAGCTGCAACAGGAGCTGCACTTCAAATGTTCTGGAATATCAAAATCCTACGGCTCTGAATTTGGTCATTCAAAATCAATTTATGCCTTGGATACTGCACTCAGAGCTGTAATTTCAATCCACAAATCAGAAAGAAAGTAATTAGTGCAGGGTTGGTAAGATGATTTCTTACTTTCTATTTATAAAGTTGCAGCGCTAGAACTCTGCAACTTTAAGTGTGTTCTCTCAATATTTTCTAATGTAATTATCTATTAGTCCAGTGTGAGTACAGGTATTTAATGCACATGTTACTGTAGTGATGGTATCCTGGCACTCTGGAAGCTTGCTTCCATGAATGAAAAGCAAGTGTTTTTGCAGTAGGAGCTGCGAGTACAACAGTTTCCTTGAGGACTATGGTGATCAGTGAGATATAACTACAGTAACAAACTATAAAATGCATAAAGCCTAATTAAAACCTGAAGTTCATCTGATGGGATTTCTCTTGCATTATGATTCAGAACATTTCTTTTAACCTGAATAGCTAGGGAATGACTAAGACTATAAAAACTGCCTTTAATTCTGGTCCATACATCTAAAATTATATTGAAAAGCATTCTGCTGGCAGTTTTTCAAAAATTTCATTTTCTTGTTTAGTGAACTGCTGAAGTCATGAGATCTTAATACACCTATAAAACAGCAGAAAGGAACACTGAAGTATTCCATTAGTAGAGGAAGTAACAAAGATTAACCTGTGCTGAAGAAAACGAAAACATTTATCCTCAACATACAGGTAATTATTACCTCCAGTACTAGCATAAATCCCTTAAGTGAGACAGGAGAATGCTAGCAGAAAGTTTATTCAGCAGTTTAGAAAGTTCTATTGAGAAGTTTTTGGGGTTAGAGCTGGACTAACAAAACATCTGGTTTGGAAAGCTTGTTAGAAGGAGATGGGATACACTGTGCCCTTCTATAACTTCAAACCCTATTTTCTAACATGAAATTTTGGACTCCTGACAGCCCAATTATGCTTTTTAATTTTTTTTTTCACATAGCTCCATTAACTTTGGCAAAAGCTTTTAAATGACAGCTTATTAGGGATTAGGCTCATTACTGTCATCTTTTCATGTGATATCCAAGATTCCCGCAATAAGACAAGGGACAGTTTAAGGGGAAAAATAAGTATGAACCACTGCATTCTTTTTCTATTAGGAATTTTCTGGCCCTTTTGAAACATTGGGTTTCCAAGCTGAATTAGATAAAAACAGTATCAAGATCTGTAAATATTAAAAGAGAAAAAGCATTAAATAACTTCTGGGATTTTCTGTAAAATTAACACTATTTCCAACTTAGCTTAAAAGTCACTGAACTCATGAGTTTTGAGAAATACTCTCTTCTCCTGGTAAGTGAAATTTCTTAAAGTGTTAAGCTAGCACTTGTGCTAGTTTTGGCTGGGACAGAGTTCATTTTCTTCACAGCATGAGGTTATGTTTTGGACTTGTGCAGGAAAACAGTGTTGATAACACAGGGATGTTTTAGCTACAGCTAAGCAGAGGTTACTCAGAGTCAAGGCCTTCTCTGCTCCTCAACCCACCCCACCACTGGGTAGGCTGGGGGTGCACAAGAAGCTGGGAAGGGACACAGCCAGGACAGCTGGCCCAGCTGACCCACGGGATACACCAAGGATATGGTGTCAGAGTCAGCAGCACAAAGCCGGGGGGAGGCCGCCTGAGGGGCTGTTGCTTGGGGACTGGCTGGGCAGCGGTCAGTTGTGGTGAGCCATTGTTTTCATTTGCATCATTTCTTCTTGGGTTTTAGATCTCTCCGTTATCTTCCTTTTCATTACAATTTATTATCATTATTATCATATTTCAATTATTAAACTGTTTTTATCTGTTTTATCTCAAGTTTTTTCACTTTTACCCTTCTGATTCTCTATCCATAGCCAGGCAGGAAGGAATGAGTGAGCAGCCATGTGGTGCTTAGTTGTCAACTGGGATTAAAACACAACAACACTTTGAAAATCTGAACTGTGAAATTTCAGAAATAAAAGTCTCCAGAAGCCTTCATTTCTTCCTCTTCTCAAAACATTTTATTTTAAATTTATCAATGATATTGTCCATCTGTTAGTCTCAGCTTTTAAAATTCAGTTTAAAAGAATCTTAGAAAAAAAAGTTGCTTAAATATAGTGTTGCTGGACTTTTATTTTCTTATTAATCTTATTTAATGCAATTCAAACCAATTGCAAATTACCTTGAAAACTGGATTATTACTTTAAAATTAGTAACTGCCTAATTTTGACACATTGGAAATGTGACATTAATTGTCTCAAGTCAAGTTGTATGTAATTTACATACAAAGAAAGAGACCATAATGCTACAAAAATGCTGAAAAGCTACTTGCTCCATAAACAGGTAATATATACTGTGTAAAATTAGCCTTGCATTTCTGTTTTTGAAGGAGTTTCCCTATTGTTGTACCTCGCAAGAATAAGACAACTGAGAAAGGTTACAAGCCTTTAGTGCCTTATCAATGGAAAGTCCAAGTGAACTTCCCTACACTGACCATGCAGCTCACACACGTTGCTCCAGCCCAGCTCAGCAACACATGCTGACTGCAGAGAAGTCCATAGCCACAGTCTATTCCACACCTGTTCTCACAGGATTCTGTAAGGAGGATGTAGCAGATTTCTCCCATCACGCAGTGCCATCGGAGGTAACTCATCACTACCACTCATCTTTGTGAAAATATGCTTGTTTATGTAATTAGCAGAGGTTTTAAAATTACCTTGCTAATTAGAGAGATTCTATAACTAAACCTGAAAACATTTCTCATCATACAAATATTAAAATCTGAAAATCTGCCAGATTAATTTAAAGAATTTGGATGTAGCAACATTTCACAGTGTCTGCTAACTTAAAAGCTGTAACATAATTTTTTAAACAAGTATAAATATTTATACATATGATCTGTACTTCAGATTTAAATTCTTAGTCAAATACAAAACACTGCATATCATCTAGTTCTGGACAAGGTTCAAGGCAGCAAGTAAGAATAGATTCACCAGCTTTCAGACCAAACTAAAGTAATTAGGGAGGTCCTGCAGAGAGACCTCAACAAACTAGAGAACTGGGCTAGAGGACTAGTCACCAACCATATGAAGTTCAACATGGAGAAGTGCTGGATTCTGCACCTGGGATGAGGCAAACCTGGATGTACAGACAGACTGGGGAATGAGATGTTGGAAAGCAGTGCCACAGAAAGGATTCTGGGGGTTCTGGTCAATGGTAAGTTGAATAGGAGTCAGCAGTGCCCTGGCAGCCTCGAGGGCCAACCTGTCTTGGGGGGCATCAGGCAAAGCATCACCAGCCAGTCGAGGGAGGGGATTGTCCTCCTTGGCTCTGACCTGGGGCAGCCTCACCTTGAATATTGTGGCAGTTTTGGGCACCACTATATAAGAAAGATATTAAAGTATTGGAGAGTCTCCAAAGGAGGGCAATGAAGATGGAGAAGGGCCTTGAGGGGAAGCTGTGTGAGGAGTGGCTGAGATCACTTGGTCTGTTCAGCGTGGACAAGAGAAGATGGAGGGGAGGCCTCACTGCAGCTACAACTTCCTTGTGAGGGAAAGAGGAGGGGCAGACACTGATCTCTCCTCTGTGGTGCCCAGTGACAGGACCCCAAGGAATAGTCTGCAATTGCATCAGGAGAGGTTTAGGTTGGATATTAGGAGGGTGGTTGGGCACTGGAACAGCTCCCCAGGGCAGTGGTCACAGCACCAAACTTGACAGATGTCACGTGTGGCACATGGAGCGACTCTTGGGGATGGTTACTGTGCAGGGACAGGAGGTGGATTTAATGATCCTTGCTGGTCCCCTTCCAACTCAACATATTCTGTGATTCTGTGAATTCTAATTTTTAAACCAATAGGATTTAATCACTTGCATAAAAATAGTTTCAATAGTAACAATTTCCTTATTCAAGATCTATATATAATCTGAAAACTCACAAATTATTATCAGCTTCCTTTTCAGCTCTTTGATTATGTTGGCATTTAAAGTGATATAAACTGGCGTTATATCAATGAACAGAGAACCAGAATATTTTATCTTATCAAGCTGATCATGCCTCTTCTGGTTTGAGCTACTTGAAAAAAAACAATCACTTTTTCTTACTTAGTGCCAAATGATTTTGCTCTCTTCTTTGGAGAATATGTGGAATTCCAAATTAGAATTAAAAGCAGGATTATACATTGAGATATCATAATTTCCATATAGTGTTTTCTAAACTTAAATACCAAGACTTACTGACCAAGGCAATAATGCAATAATACACTGTGGGCAGATGGGCATTACTAAACTGTTTTCTGTTCTATGTTACTGACATAATTTCAAGTCAGACTGACTGAAATCATAATTTAGCAATGAGACATTATACCATGAGGCATTTTAAGTGTTATTATAAAAAGTCCACTAAACTTTACACCGAACATAAAAAAGACCAAGGAGGTCTTCTGCAGGTTAGGCCAATTTCAGGAGAAGTGTAATCAAATTTCTTGAAAATAAATTATTTATTTACACAGACACTGTGCAAAAATCAATTAATTTTAAAAAGAAAAATAACCATTGAAATTACAACAGATAACATAATCATCTACAACACTGCTATCATAGGATGAAACCATTTCTGAACACATTAATCCAACTTAATACAGTTACTTGGGTCAACATACTCCATGCATGTAATATCCAAAATTCAAATACTGTCTGCTCCTCTGATATAGTTTCTTCCATGAAGATTTGGGGAACATCCAGGATGATGCTCAAAAAACATAAAATACCAAAAAACCCCCAAACTAAATTTTCAACAAACAAAAAAACCCCACAGTTTTTTTTTCGTTGTTCAAGTACAATCTATAAAATTTGGCAGATACATCTTCATTAGGTGTTGGGTACTGCCTAATTTAGTGCTCCATTTTAAATAACTAGCCATTTTGTATAAATGTCAGAGACAATCTAACCTGGCATTTCAATCTGCATAAATCTCAGCTTCTCTGGAGGAAAAAACTTAAAATGCTAATGGCTCTTTCCATAAAAGCTACTTTACAGATCTTGTGTGACAAAATGAATTTTCCACGTTTATAAAATGCAAAATTCAGTGAACTTGGGATATTTTTATTCACATACTGTCTTTTGCATAAAGCTCTCAAACAGTTGAAATACGTGTCAGCTGGCACTTGACTGTGAAGAAGCACATACACACACATACACAGTATATATATGTGTGTATATATATATATATATATATAGCACATAGACATAGAGTAATTCGTGACATTTTCTGGGGGAAAAAAGTTGATTTATTTGTCCATGGACTAAGAAGAAAATAAGAAATCAAACTTTGCATCTTATTTTTGACGTGGTTACGCGAAACAACTGAGGCAATTAATAACATACTACTAACAAAAGGGAAAATCCTCCCCACCCATTTGTACCTGCTCTGGAATCTGAGCCAATCGGAGCCAATACAGCCCATTAAGCCAGCATAAAATTATTCACTTATTTCGCTGGTTCAGACCTGTACTAGCTTAGCAACCCTTTCAGCACCAGCAAGTCAACAGATCAATTCCATCTACTTATTTCCTACCTTGCATGCCTCCTACTTTCAAAAGTTTTTCTAAATGTCACAATATTCTCTATTTCAATTTATACTGTCACAAGGAGATCAAGAAACCCTTAGCAGCCAAAATGCATTGGTCAACTAAGACACAAAATATTCAGTAAACAGAAAAACAGAAAGTGCTGTTAATTTCTCTTCTTATCCGTCATTGGTTGGTAAATGTCTACTTCATCGTTCATTCTCAGCCCATCCTGTCAGTCAAAATTCTATCATCAATGTGGTAATGGAACATGGGTTCCTGGTTATAGTAGTTTATTGTGGCTCAGGAAAACTGCGAACAATGGCAGGAGTTCTGCAGCCATACACAAATTGAAACGTTAATTTTGCCTTTTGTTCATGTCACTGCAAAGCACATTTTATTAAAAAAAGCCAGGAGCAAACTATTTTTGTCATCTATGCTTTTGTCATTAGATGCCAGTATTACAGCAACAGGAAAAGTAAAAAGATGACAAGTACGGTTTTCCTCATCCATTTCATATTTTTTTAACATAATAATCTGATTTTACCATTAGCAATTTCTCTGTGCTTTTCACTTATGCAGAATGGCTCCCTCTCCAAATAATAAACTGGCTAAGAATACATTTAAGCTGTTATCCTACGTAAAATGCTCATACTAGCACTCATATAAAACCACATAATGAGACCCAATCCCAGAATGAATATGAGAAGGAATGCATCCTTCTGTTTCAAATGAGACTATTTTTCTCATTCACAAAATGTCAGTTCAGAGTTTTACTTCGTATGTAATGTCAAAGGCAAAGAGAAAAAAATTGGGAAAAAAGTCTCACTTGTGAAATATGGTTGATTGAAGATTCCATGCGTCGAAGTTGGGATGCCTGGATATCCAGCATTTGGAGAACATTGTTGGCCAAAGTGTTGATCAGATAGGCTACGCTTGCTAATGACTGGGTTGTGTAGGCTTTGGTTTCTTCCAGGGCTCGCTGCTTATCTGCTGACTGAAAACAGAAAAAAAAGGTTTATTTAGTATAAAGTCTCTCAGGCAAAGGTTCTTGGAATGAACATCTCTTGCCTGTTGTTACAGGCAAAAAAATTACATAAGCCGAACTAATTCTAAATAAAAGTTACTATTTTTCCTCCTTTCCATTCATTCCACAAAAGATACTAACTTTGTATTTTAAGAGTTTCTATGCTTTATGAAAAGAATTAAGCTCATTTTCTCTTGAAGTCCAACTTTTAATTTTGTATTTTAGCAATTAACTTGAAAAGCGCTCTGAGACACTTATCCGTTATCTCTCCTAGACTTTATACTATTTAGAACTGTTTGGTTTTTCTATACCTGGTATTTCAATTAGAAGTACCTAACAGCCTGCAGGGATCTACCAAATACCATACTCCTCACAGCTCCCAATTATTTAGACCTCATTCTTGTCACAAACAGTCATTCAGTGAATGAACTGTAATTATTCCCTTTACATCGCAGTTGAATAAACTGAGAACAATTGTTTTTTAAAAGAACAAGTCCATGGTTTTTTTTAAACATGTTTTGTGTTTTTTCACACTGTCAATATTTTTTCTAGTATGATCCATTTTTCTAGCAGTAGAGCACCTAAAAGTATTTATGCTATCAATCCACAAGATAAGATATTAGAAGTTTAAAAACATGTCAAACAACATTAAGGATAGTAAGAATCTAATTGTTAGACTTCTGTGTTTCTCCTCGAATAACAGTTAATATCACTAAGATTGAAGTCAGTACAAGAAATACAGATTAAAGCACTAGTAAAACATACAACTAAGATGCTAAGAAACTTTCCAGTATCCAAAGCTTTGGTATACACTGGATTTCACTTTTAGGTGATCTTTAGCCACTTCACAGGTTGATGGTGCTGTTTCTAAAGCAACAGTTGACAAATGTTCTCTACTCCTACCTGCCATTATAATACTGTATTTCATTACTTCCTTTGCTTTATATACTATCCACATAGGTTGGGTATCAAGATTCAAGAAAAGAAAAGGGAATATAAAGTTATTCCATATCTTTCAGCAAAAGCTGAATCTACCATCGATTTTTATTATATGTACCTTGGGAAACAAAGAAACTAAGAGTATCTGTATTTCAGGAAAATAATTCTTACAGCCAAAAATGTTTCCTGAGACCTTGTAATAAGACCCTTATAAGAAGATTGCTAGCTTTCAAGGGAAAAAAAAAATCCCACATATGTATAAACAGGCACAGGACTTCAATTAAATGCTCACATGAAAAATATTCAATACTTTTTCTTTCCTGGCAACCTTCTGTGTCCATAAACAACAATGGTAACTTTGGCCTGTTAGAAGCCTACACTGGTACCAGTTCCTCATCTGCCAGGAAGGAGGATAGCAGGATGATGTTCATCCATGTAAGAGCTCCCACGATGGAACAGGAGGGGAGGGATGCTCTAGAAGGTAAACATTTTTGCCTGGTTGTTTCTTTCTCATCAGCAGAAGACACAAGACAACAGAGAAGGAAATCAAAATTTTGGGAGACAGCTTTCTCTAGGCACAGTATGATGATATTCTCCAGCAGAGCACACTTGTAAAAGCTGCCTTATATTCAGCTATAACGAAGTTAGATAAAGGCTATCCTCAGATCCCATTAAAGATCTCATGCCTTTTAGCAATCTGAATAGTATGTCTTGTACATAAAAGAGCTCCAAACTCAGAGACTCCCAAATGAAGGGAGAGCTCTTTACCTCTACTCTCACACTGATGGCTTATAAATGTACTCTTTCTTCCCCTTTCCCTACCCACAGCCTCAGCTCAGCCTGCACATCTCTGCAGCAGGCACACCTACCACCACACACTTCACAGCCATTCAAAACATTTCTCAATGGCAATAAGAAAAATGACCAGAAGCTCCTCAGTTTTGCTCGGCAGCTGCTGACAATCTATTTATAGAAGCAGAAACTGCTGATTTCCATTAGGACACTACATCCAGAACAGCTGAGTATAAGCCAGGATACACCATATTTTTCATTAATAGCCAAAGTGTTTGAGAACAAAAGGTAAAGTCTATAATTTTAGATATTATGAAACTATATTGCTTACAACCGTTGTCATGCTCACTGATCCTGAATATGTAACAATGAAAATAAAGGCATTTCTGCAAATAAGATAATGATTTCAAGGAATCAATAAACAAAATTCAAACATAACCCGCAGCAGTCTAAGATCTGATACTCTGATCTTCATATCATCAAAATACCAGCCAATATGCTTCCTACCTGACTGTAAGGTAGACAAAGTTATTTCAATTTCCACACCCATCAAAATTCTCCAGTGAAGAATAAAAATAGCAATTGGCCCTAATCAAACTGGTGAGACTCTCCACAGTAGTTTCAGTGACTATGGAATACTGTTTCTGTGTGGAATACTGAAAACAAGAGAAACATGTTCTGGCCATGTTCACTGTAACAAAAAGAAAAGCTGCTACTGTGAATAATTAAGGGTATTAACCAGAGACCCTGTAGCCCTTCAGTTCTCAGAAACATTGTGTTCAGCATGATCAAGCACTGGTAGCAAGTGTTTTCAGTGCCGTGACCTAAATTAAATGCCATGAAACAGACCATTGAGCATCCCTCCATTTTACTTTTTCAGCATCTCAAGCACCTGCACACATAAAATGCCTATGAAAAAAACAGGCTCACAACATCTATTCACACACCACTCTCAGGGAAGCAATGCATTCCAGTGTTAGAGCAGTTTGATCTGTACTTTTAAAATGGATATTAAATTTGAGAAAGCAAAAGCTATTGTTTGACAAACATGTCTTCTGCAACACTGCCAACACAGGCAGTATCTTATTCCTAGACCTAACATATCCATCCATTGTGATAGTACTGTATTTGTAGGTCTGCATGGTGGATTGAGTGCCTTATCTTGTTTACAAATAACTTCAGAAACAAATGGTTATTTTAAACTCCAGTCAATTCCATTATCTTCCCTGCCATACAAACTTGCAAATATGCTTGCCCTATGCTTGCCCTAGTAAAACTAAGTAGATGCCACAAAGGAAGAGCAAATCAGTTTACTGAATTATTGTTTGAGCAATTAATCATGAGATAATGGAGGCTCAGGTTCTACTTTAAGTATCAGTACCTATCAAAGTAGAGGTCCCCAACGCCAACTGCACACTCCTTTTGCTGTAGTGAATTAAGACCAGGAGGCAAGTCCCAAATGAAAATTATCTGAATAAACCAAATAAATAATAAACCAAATAAACCAAATTATAAGTTTCCCCTCACCCAAACCACTGCACAGCCACAGAAACACAAGGAAGTATACAGTCAAGAATGAAGAGGGAAGAACTAATCAGAGTTGTTTGGCTTGTTAGAAAAGGAACAAGTGTTAGGAAGCAGACATCACTACAGTTTTGCAAGCCTTCCACTAGTTTTTTTTTTCACCAGGACTGTACACAGTGCCTCATTATTTTCCCATTAATATTTTTCCATTAACTGTTTCATCTCCACCTCTTAAACTTGTAGCTTTGACTTCTCAGTGTTAACATACACTGAGTATCACAGCTGGATCATCTTCAATGCCTTAAAAAGAAATGTTCGGATCATGTCTTCTGTGCCCAGGTCATGGAATTTCCATGCAGCAGCGTAGCATTTACTCTGTTTATCATTTTTCTCCACACAATGCACACATTAGGTGGTCCATGCTGAGTCACAAGGCAGCATCCTTTTCTCCTGCTGTCAGCAATAAGAAAGAGCACCATTTTAACTCAACACAGAGTTCACCTGATGCTCCTGCCAGCCCCACTTGGAGTGAGGATGGTGTCAGCTACTGCTGGGACACGCTACCTCTGCTGCAGCAGGAAGTGGTGCCCCATGCACCCACACACAGCAGCAGCCATTGCTCTCCCCCACTCTCCTATGGAGAGTGTTTTCCATTGGTGGAAGCACCCAGTACTGAAACAGTTGGTTTGCCTCCACCAGAAAACAAAACAAAGGATTAATTAGATGGAAATATTTCACAGGATGGATCCAGTCTGAGAGCTACAGCACAGACTACAGTGACTACTCTATACAAAGCTGGGGCTTTTAGATAACAGGAGAAGATCAAAGTCATTCAAGTCAGCTACAAATGCACAGATTACAGTCAGTCAGAAAAGGCATGTGCTACAGTCACAGGGAAACAGTGTGTGCTTACTTTCAGATACCAGAGAATTATCAACAATTTCTACTTCCACATGACAGTCCAGCAACGGACACCAAGTCTATCACAGCTCAGGAATGATCTCAAATGTTGACCTGAAAACATTTCCCTTTTTTTATTAGACTGTATAAACCAAACTGCTAGCATAAGAAAGGATATAAAATTCAACCTGCACTAAGATGACTACTTTTCATGTCAGGACGAAGAGTGTAGGCATCACCCTTCCCACTCTGGAAGTTCCATTTACACTGCACAATTACATTGCCAGATTTCAACAAGAAATGGCCCGGACTGCTTCCTATATAATATATTTTTTCATTTAGGATTTAAATGTCTCAGTGTTTATTCTCCTGCCTAGGGAAACACAATCTTTTGTATTTATATAAGCAACAACAACAACAAAAATTACGAAGAAGAAAAAATACTGTACAGAGAGTGTGGGGCAGACAAAAGAATAAAGCCTGCAGTAAGGTATTCAAAATGCCAACATAATTTGGTTATATGATTGACAAAAAGAAATCTTATATGGATATGGAGCATAAATATCAGGGCTAGAAAGAAACCAAGAATTTAAGGCATTCTGCCACCCCAAAGAGGGATCAGCCAAATCATAGTGATAAGGTCTGTTATACCACTATTAAGGACATGAATACTTCTGTATAGAAAAACAGTTACTAATGGACTGAGAAATTTTTCAGGGAAACATATGATGGAAGGCAACATGAGCCCTACATTAAGATTAACCCACCCAACTTAATGAAATAAGAAATGCTACCAATGCTACCAAATTAGAAGA